TCACGTTTTGCATCTAAATTTATACCCCTAGATCATTAAGTTTCACACGGTACACTTCCTTTCGTTCCCTGACGTATATATGAAACTTCTCAACGTGTACTGAATCCATCCTTGCTGCTGAACGTTTATCATGTATTAAGTTCAACTCTAACAGTCACCGATCCATCAGTGCAAATCTTACTCATATTTAACTTTCGTCAAATTATGTCTAGGCCATCTAAATATCATATAATCCCTCTGATGCTTAGAGCAACTGCATGAGGTCAATTTGTAACCAAAGCTATGTAAGCACGCTTATCAATCCACATAGCACTCTAACTTTTCTACAGCTACACTAGGTATGTACAGTGCACCTGGATATAACTTCTCACTCCCTTAGCCTCACCCAAGCCATTTATGATTTATCACTCACAAACAACTTATCAGTGTTTCAGAAGACCCTGATCTCGAAATTATACTTAATATTGAAAAAGTAATTGACCATTTATCTTCAGAAATGTTTAAAAGACTTCAGTGTATGCAAATTATTATTGTCTGTAATGTGCCCGATATTGCGAACACAAGTTCATTAAGGATACTCTACCACAAGTGTGGACTGCCGCAGTCTTGTTGTGCGACATGAATATTATATAAAGCACGGTCTAGTATCATAATGGTAATATCAAAGAGGCTAAACACCTCATCAGTATTCAGGCATGATTAAGGCATATCTATGACTGGAATTTTATGTAACGTCTAACCCTTAATGAACTGCAGACTAAACAACTGGGTCAGTGCACTATCAACGATGTCCACTAAACAAATCCTAAAGTACCGTCCCCTCCCTGTACAAGCCACTAGGTCACCAAAATACCAAATACTACTTTACCGTACGAAGAAATTCACAGGCATATTGGCACCCTTAACCCACAATATGCAGCTGTCCAGAGCGATAGAAAGTCCTATAACATACAAAAAGGACTGACAGTGCTTAATCATCCTAAACTGAGGCTACACCTGATTAACACCGCACCTACTCACGACACCAGCAGGCTTTTTAGTGTGAGCCTCAATACTTCTAAGAATCAGGATACAACCAAAAACAACACAAAGGCGTCCCTTTGCAAATTCTCGGACAATTCCCCATTTTCAAGCGGAAACACTCAACCTCCTTAATTAACCAAAACGGGGATAAAATAATCTATAGTACACATAAAGCCACAAGTTAGGCCTACTTTGGCACCAATTTAGTGATTCTAAGCACTGTCTGATTCAAGGTACGTTACTCAACTGTTTGATACCTCGAACTCGATACGCCCACCATCACATCCTTTTTAGCTGTCTCTATTTCGACAGTGTTGAGGGTGATAATCTTTTTCTTTGAAGGCTATCCTTCATATAATCCAACCTAATGGGGATCGACACATTTCTATCTGACTCGATAACCTCCTCTAGCCTCAAAATCTCCTCGACTGACCCTCCAAGACACTTCGCCATCTATCCATTCAATCCACTCTTCCCCACCTATCGCTCCTAAATATGATTTTTTCGCCATAATTCCCTCTAAATATTTTTCTTTCATTAGCAGTGTTGATAACAAACCAAACGAACATGAATATAAAGCTGATACTCCTACTTCTTCCTCGTCTCCCCATGATAAAACAAACAACCAACTAAGTTTGTATCACACGTTTCTATTAGGATTGTTGTCTTCTGATTTCACACGTGAACCATCATAACATTCGACAGTAATTGTTTTAACCACACATTCAACACTTAACACGGAGAGAAGGTTAGTAATGGTGAACGCAGGATTGATTGATCGAAATGGCATGGCTCGACCATGCAGGTGTGGCCACCCTATGTAATCTCTTCATTTATTGTTGGATATATTACTCTCCTCCCAGTCCAAATGTGTTGCTCAGAAGTGCTAGACATTCTATTGTTGACTGCCAGGATAAGACAAGTCAGTGTGCACTATCATGTGACTTCCACGTAAGATCCTATAGCCTAGATAGTTACATCATGACAAATCTACAATCTCGGAATTAGGTTTACTATCATAATAGCAAAGATAAATGAACTAGTATCTGACTAGTTCATGAATCTTGATTGGAGAGACAGACTGTAGAAACGCAACCTGCTATTAATTCTCGTATTTATCTCAACTTCCTTTTTTATTAAAACTTATGGCAATCCATATTATTATTCCGTTGATTAATTCCTACGTGCATCATCGTATTGTAATACTGATTAGTATTCAATTTATTAACTCGATTAATACAAATAACTGATCATGTATATTTACGTTTAGCTATGAAGGTTCATTAACAAGCTTTAGTGGCATTTACATACTTCAATGAAACAGAATTATTAATGTATCAGGCACTAGCATATGTGTCTCTTATTCGACGTAACCTCGTATATGCCGGCAATTGACGTAAGCAAAGACTAGACAGTCCTGTTTCCTCACTTAACATCTAACGCTATTTTAAACTATGGACTGTCACCTTATATCTTTTTCGATCACTCCTTGCATAGTTTTCAGTTTTCGCGTTCCATTTCCAAACAATGAAGACAATATTCTGGAAACTAGAGCATATGGCTGAATATGGAGAAATGCGGCTGACTATTTATTGAAGACACGTCTAGTGAAATAAAAATGAAAATCAATGGGAGTGTACGACTCAAAATCACATCAGCGACTTATCTTGGGGCACAATGCCCACACAGTTCAAAATTCTCAGAATAATTCTTCACCAATGCTTCTGAAATGCGAAAACCTCTAGGCTTCATTCTTTGTAACTTCTTTCAAAATGAATCTAGAATCATTCGCTTGTTTGGCAAACATTTGTCCGGCATCGTACCCTTCCTAATGCTTGTACTTTGTTTTGCAACCCAGAATTTGTGCTATAGTCATTTAAATTATTACATCGACGTTTGACCCTCAGTATATAATTTAAGAACGCCAGATAGGTTTGCATAGTGATAATTGTAGAAGTAGTGTTTTCCAAAGAAATGTGAAACAAAGAGTTCGTGCGAGAAGTATTTTATCTGAAAATAAACCTTAATGAGCCTAACATCACAAAAAGAGGGAGAGTGTAGTTATCGACAAGCAAGCATTGATGATGAGTGCGATGACTTCAGTCCACCCATGTTTGTGGGGCAGGACATTTTGTTTGTTTCGGGTGTTTTATGATTGGGTATGAGGCAATCAATCAGTGATACTGTGGTTGTCTTCTGCACTCGTTGCTCAAACTCGTATTTCTGATTTTATGTTGAGTTTGCCATCCTATTAAGATTACGTACGACCTGCCAACTCACGTTCTTACATTATGACCTAGTGACGTGGATTAGATAAAAACTAGAATTAATAAACGGATGATAAAAGACATACTTGTTGGCGTTTCCTAACGCTTCTTTCTCTCCTGATGCACTTTTCATTCCGATAAACAGCCCTCCGTATTCTAGCTTCGACTTCCGTTTCATTATTTGGACCAATTCCGCCTTGTTATGTATCACAACTCACTATTCTTTATTACTGCATTCTCTTATCTGAAGGCTATAACCACATTTCACTCTAGCAGTGGCAGGTAGTAAGAGTTTTATCTACCAATTTGTCATAAGTTTATTTGTCCAACTATGAACCATTAGGCATTTTTCGATAACAACATTGTTGCCTACACCAATTACTTTAATACCTCATAGAATTAGATATGGATTACATTAAAAATGTCGAAAACGTATAATACAAATATGACGATCAAACTGAAATCACATTTGCATATGTGTCTCAGGAGACATGTGCTGAAAGGATTCGTTAGTTACCTGTCCTTTAAGTGTTGTGTTTACCATTGCAAAGAGTTCAGATGTTCTGTGAGTGCACACAACGAGAGTTCATCAGTGAATATAATCTAAATCCACTTCATAAATACCGATGGACATGTTATTATCAGTAATCTATTATTTTTACCAACGGTTACATTAAACTGACATTAAACTAAGTAGCCAAGTGGACAATGCGATGGCGTTTGGTGTGAACATCAACTTTAGAATACAGGCACATCCAGCTGACAAGTCCAAAGTGGGACAAAAACACACGTTCTGGATTCCACTTCAGGAGGAACTGACTCGACTTCAAAGTTGGGCAGACGATAACGGACTTACCTTTAACACTTCAAAGTGTAAAGTAGTCCATCTGCGACATGTTGCAAACTACAGTTACAACTTAGGAAACTCTTCGCTAGTAGTATCCCAAGTCGAAAAAGATTAAGGAGTCCTGGTGCCCCATGATTTAAAGTCTTACGCTAACTGTGACAAAAACGCCTTCCGAGCAAACCTTGCACTGGTAACGTTGAAGCGCATTTTTGGACAGTTTGACGGACAAACTTTCCATACAATCTTCAATAGTTTCATCCGTCCCCATTTAGAGTACGGAAACATAGTACTCCCCCCTCACTCCATAAGGACAAGGTCACTTTGGAGCGTATCCAACGGCGAGCCACGAAATCAGTTCGAGGACTCAAATCTAAGCCTTTCGAAGAACGCCTCCGTTCACTAGACCTTTACCCACTAGAATATAGGCGTCTTAGAGGTGATTTATTAATGGCTTATAGTATTCCTAACACTTCTGGACATCCTCTTAAACACCTACTTAAGCTTAGTTCGAATAATAACCTAAGGGGTAACACCCAGAAACTGGAAACACAACATAGCAAGACGGAATGTAGACACAACTTCTACTCCTTAAGAGTTGTCAAAATCTGGAATTCGCTGCTGGCCGAGCTAGTCCAAGCGACTTCTCAGGAGTCCTTCAAGAGGCAACTTGACCTATTCTTAAGAACCAAGGACAGCATCACACTATGATTTACCAATTTCTTTTCCTCTTTTATTGTTAACATACCTAGGTTCCTGCCTGGAGGATTTGGTGATCCCCTGCTACTAGACACGGAAGCCTGTTAAGCGAAAGCTTCTTCTATTCCGTCTACAACCATTTTAACCATTTGAACCATTTGAAAATTATTGAGTATTGAAAACAAATTATATATGCTTTAGGAAGAGCCTTTATTAATTTTCGAAGGTCACGTTTTTTAACGTGATGCATTTTACAGATATACTGCTTTCCGAAGTTGCTGTTAGTGGGTTGGAGGGAATCACACTAGATCAACTTTGGAATAATCTCGAAGATAGTAGAACTGGATTTCCATGGAAAATTGACAAGTATTCAAAGCAGTTTATTTGGTCCACACTAATAAAAATGGATAACATAAAATACTTCGCACTGCCTTGCTGTCTTACTCCACAAGAGACGTTTAGTCGTATAGATTGTCTGGTAGAGACGAAGGATGGCACGTATTACAAACTACCTGTGGGTTTGTTTGTTTACCTGTTCTTATTAATTAAGGAATCTCTTCCACGTGTTGAGTTTTTCCCAGTGGGGAAAGATAACCACCTGGGATCTTCCCGGTTCTACGATGAACGAAAAGATATCACTGACGTTATTTCCAATGATGCAGTTTTCAGAATATTAGAAAATGTCGTGGAAAAGTTTGTTTTCTGGCTTACATTTCATACTTTAGGTGGGGTAACACTCTAGTTCTAGTAGCCTCACAGAAAGAAAGAAACAGATTACTTTTTGGAAGTCCAAATATCCCCCGTGATTTTTCTGCAGGTTTGTATGTAATGCTAGAATCTATTGCTAAGTAAGTCTTTTCAATATGATAAAAATGGTATGAAAATGATTTTTGGTTTTCTGGAAACCCGAAGCATTCTCACATGATTTTATAATATTGTCATGTGTTAAAATTGGAATTTGTGCATATATCTTGCCAGTGTGTTACCACATGCACTTTAACCGGATTGTTGAATGTGAATATTGTGAAGTATTCCTGAAATTTTCTAGTTCATCTTAAAGAATAATCCTGAGTTCGTACAAAAATTTCTCACGTTAAACGAGTTGCGTATAATCGTATGATCCATGTGGTTCATCTCGTAAATCGTCTATTATAAATATTTTCCCTAAGGTCTTTTACTCAGAACTCGTAAGCTATTAGTATTTGACCACAGATGCCTTAGAAATATTGCTGGCATCTGCTAGGATCACCGGGTAAGTAATAATGAGGTTAGACGCAGGGTATTAGGAAATGATGGTAAATCAGTTGATGAGGTTATGAATCTTCATCGACTGAGATGGTTGGGCCACGTGTTGTGTATGCCTGAACACCGATTACCACTACGTGCAATGCTCACCGGTGTTCGGGATGGTTGGAAGAAAGTTAGGGGTGGCCAAACCAAAACGTGGCATCAGTGCTTGAAGTCACTTAAACTAGGAGATTAAAATCGCTCCATATCTTTCTTTCTACGAACCAATTCTTTCTCCTTGTACTATATTTCTATATGCAATCTTTCTCTTATATATTACCACCTTTAACCTAACCACTGCTATGAATCCGGTGTTCATCTTGTTGTGCTGATGCGGTATGGCAACCTGGACCGATGCACATATATGCCTGGTCCTACGTTGTAGCTGACTGAGTGACTTTACTCAGGAACTTGGTTTAGCCTGATGTGTGTTTATGATCACAGAGGTAAGGTAGCAAATCTATTGGTCAGTGCATATTTTACGCAGCAAAAACGGAGGCAATTGTTTGTTTTTGATGACTTTTCTCCGTGTTCCTAGGTTACAATGAACTCAAATGCACTTTTTTAGTGATTAGATTAGGATTAGTATTTCACTTTGCCTTCGTATTGTACTTACATCCTATTTAGGTTGGAATCAAACCATTTCCATCAAAGTATAAACACGAAACCGGAAATCTGGTGTTGTAAACTAATAAGGTAATCATTCCCGTCAACCAGACTCGGGTTTTAGTCTAACTATTAGGCGGTGGCGAATGAAGTATTGATGGATATTACGTATTGAGTACAGCTTTACTAAATCATATTGGAACATCGAAAACAATCATGCCCACTAAGAACCAGAATAAGCGAGTTGGTAATTTCAAGCTGATCTCGAGATTTACAAGTTGAACGTCGCTAGTAGTTTTCAGGCCATAGTATTTTGTTATATTTATTTGCTTTCACAACATGCCACATGTCTTCAATTACTGATACAAATGCATACATGTAAGACATCCTGTTTTAAAAGCATTTGTGCTTGACTGGCCTAGAGCTTTTTACGTCATCTTTCAAAAAGAAAGAAGGATGAGCTCGAACAGTTTGACGGAGTCATTTGATGTGTTTATAATTTGTTCGCCCACTTAAAAATTCAAGTGATTATCTGAACAGACATATTAGTTTCAAGCATTTAATGTACTTACCCTTTGTTGTATGCGCTAACCACTGTGTCACTATTAAATGTCAAAGCAATTTTTAAAATAAATGTGAGTACCTATCTTGTTTTTCTTTATCTGGATGTTAGGATGATCTTAAGTTTGAAAAGTATGTATATAACTTAATTTCGTTGGGAATTCTTACTTTACGATTTACTATTTCAGACAAAAGTACAACGGATTATCCACAACTCATCATGATGGTCTATTGTCTTCTAGTCTGACCACTGGTACTATATGGTACATGCGCCAAAAGCTGGAGAAAATGGGTATAATCAAGTCTCAGGTAATATCCTTCTTAAATAATCTCAAAGTATTTTTTAGCCTTATTTGGCGAAAGTAGGCAAAAAGCCTGTGATGCCCGGTTTACTACTGCACCATCGTAAATATTATTTGCATTTTCCGTTCCCACCTGCAATTTTCATGGAAAGGATATCTCAGTTTTTGCTAAGTAAACCTGGGAACAAATGTTTTGGATTCGAGATTCGCAAGGTTCGTTAGTATTTTTCTTTCCATTCTACTTCCTGGTACCCTTTAGTTACGCGGTAGATTTGACAATGTTGCTTGTTTGGTTTACGCTCATTATCACAACGCTTCTGTCATCGCATAATTCTCATAGATCTTTTTACACACATATCTATTAGCTCATGCTTTGTATCCAAAGTATATTTAGTTAAGGTGTTTTCCATCTTATATAATCTAAGAATTTATTATAATTAATAAAATGTTGGCTAACTCTAAACCCAGAGATCATGCTTTGCTGTCATATCGCCCCTCATTGACTGTTTCCATTTGTCATATTTATTTTTGATTAGTGATTTTAGTAGTAAAGTTCTCACTACCTAAAGTCTCAGCTAGTGTGGAACTAGTCTTCTGCTTGTGACTAGCAGCAGATGAAATTCACTATCATAGAAATGGTGTCTCTTTGTTTGGTGAGATTTACTAAATCCAACTTCAGTCACGTTTTCACTTCAAGAAAGTCGCACTCTAAGCCTTGCCTCAGTGGTTAAAGAACTTGATCTTCGCTCATCAGTTTGCAGTTTCTATATTGTATCCGCTGGTCGTATATATTGATTTTTTACTTGGGAAACACACAGTTACCGAAACGAGGAATTTCACATTAAATAATACAAAGAATAGTATCCTAAATAAATATGACTCTGAAATGAAACCATTATTATACCGAACATTGTATCACACTAAGAATAAACTGATTATTACGCTAATTGGTTATCTTACTGCATTAGAATGGTAGTAATGCTAGACAGAAATCACGATGAATTTGGCGTTTTTATTTTACCATATCATTTTAAACATAGTCCTGTTGCAAATCGTTCTAGGAATGCGTTTAGCATTGCTATGCCTGACAGACTAGAAAGCGTGGTTTGGATCCGGTTACATGAATATGTACTCGGTTAGCTAATTGTTTTAATAATCACTTAACACGTCAACCCTGTTTGTAGGAGGATCCGAACGGTTTTCACATTTCCTATCGCTGTATTACAGATTAGCAACAATAATACTGGTACGACGGATTCCTAACTTCACTATAATTCATTAAGTTTGGTGGATATCTAAAGATATGTGTTGGTGCCATGTTATTCAGACCGTTATTTTATCATCTCACTTTCAGTTAATCGGACTTACTTCCAAAGGCATAAAACGGACGTTGAGATTTGGTGTGAAACATGGTTGGCTAGATGTTATCAACACAAGTTTCAGAGATGCCTGCTCTGTACTTCTTGGTAAGAGCGAGGATGATGTAGATGATGATGATATGCTTAGTATACTTCATAATACAAATTGTCCAGTTGACCCACATCATCGGTATCCTTGCATGGTAAATTTGGTATCACTTAAAACACAATTTCGCATGGACTCATGGATATCTGAATGCGGTCAAGGTGAGAATGCTTTTGGATTCAAGAAATGTAAAAAAGAAGAATATGATGTTGACTCTGATGATGCGTTAGATGAGGACCTTGAGGCTGTTGATTTTCAAACAGAATTATCCTCAACAAAGCGTGAAATTCCTGATTATAATATTACCGAATTAAAATTGGAAGAGCACCAGTCTGCTTCCACTGTATGTGATACTCAGACATCTATAAACACCTCTTCTTGTCTTCCACCACCCAACAAATCTCAGTGTCTTGTCTACGCTAAAAGATTACTTGCATGTAAGTGGTTCTCAATATCTTCGTATGACCTGACCTTTTTTTTTTTACAAAACTTCACTAATTCAAAAATTAAAAACTTTTAGCAAAAGCTAAATGCCATAATTTAAAAAATTCTCTGGAGACTATTTTCATTGTTATAAATGTTGTTAGTTGGATATCACGACCGCTGTGGGAGGTTTTCGAAAAGATAGTCAGGAAAGGCAAGAACGCGTTCATTAGCTACTTTTGAGTTGTGAAATGTACTGTTTCAGGCAGTCAAGTTTTATTCTTTCAGTAAGTTTAAAACTTTTCTCTATCCATTGCAGTTCAAGGAGATAGATAGGTTCATTTATTATTCAATAATGTATGATGTAGTCGATTCGCGTTTTAATTACAATTTCTAAGGAAACTTATATTTCGACTTTTATTTTCTATCTCAGATAGTTGTGCAAAAAAGTATTATGGGCTTAAACCTAGGAAGCATAAAATGTTGAAATTCTCCATATAAGTGTTTTTGATAAAATTTAACGTTTCAGACTGTATGTTAGCTTCGCATCAACACCAGAGATCCAGTAAACATAGCATTCTCTTGTCACAAACTTCAGTAAACTTAAATATCGTTGTTAATTTATGCAGGCCCTTAGAATAATAGCTCAATAACTTTCAGTTGTTCAATCGCCAGGTTAGACCCATTCCGCTGACCCTACTTCAACAACTAGGCGGTCATGAAAGAAGTATGGTTGAAAGCCAGGTACATACGGCTGCCCTTGATCATAGAGTTAGAAATATCTCACTTGGTCACTCATTTCTATTTGCTTAGTCAGTTTATCTTCATTCTAGATTTGTTCATTCGTAAAAGTTTTTATCCATTTTGGTTGCCTTATGTTGAATTTTGATGTTTCATTATTTCATAGAATTAGCTAACACTGCGTAATCAAAATATGGTCAGGTATTGTAGAAAGAACCCTGGTTTTGTATACCACCTCTATCACCGATATGATTAATTAGATTCGAATAAAAGAACACTTGAAACCACTCTTAACCGTACAAGAGATCTATCTACAGCTGTCTAAAATTAGTCTTTAGTAGTGTTCAGTTGTTTTTCACGTGTCGAAATCCATCTTTGTTATCTAGAAGACCACTTGTATCAAACTTGATTCACTCGTAGATAGGTTTGTGGTCATTGGATTAAATTGTTCTAGTAATTCGCATTGTTTTGAGAAGCTCTGTATAATAAGCGTAAATAATATGAGCCTTGTGTTCATTGGATAAATTAACCATTTCACTAATGACTACTTTTTGTAAAGCATTTTAGATCTCAATTTCTGGATATTATTCAAAATGTTCAGCCACTCTGTTAAACAAAAATTATGTTACTAGTTGTTTACTTATTTAACACCAAAATATGAAGAATGATATATGGACTTTTATAACTACTTTGTTCTTGATTTTAATATTCACAGCATAATTTGTTAAGAGAATCACCGAAATAGTTTGAATAAGGTTCTAAACTACGGATAAATATTTTCGTAAACGAAGGATATACCGATTACCATCTTCGAGTAAAGTTTCTTTAGTTTGATAATTCTGAACAAATGATTGTTTTTATTAATTAAAGTTTTGTTAACGAAATACTGTACTAACTAATTAATAAACATTGATATTCACCTTTCTGGAATTGAGATTGTCTTTGTTAATGCATTCATTTTGATATGTTTGCTCAACATGGAACTTGTACCGTAGGTTCGAACTATGATACGCCGTGGACAGTTGATCAGTGTCCTCAATTCTCATACTTTTGACGTGAATCACAGTCCAAAACTCGGTACGAAACATCGAAACATCTTTCACTTTAGTATTGTGTGGAATCAAAAATGTTGCGCAAGATGACGCATTGAACATGCTAATTTACCAGTATAGTTTTTGATATTTATAGTTTTCGTTTGTTTTCGTTTTTTTCTTATTTTTCTTCACAAGTTATTCCTTCACTCAATATTGATGAATCTATAACAGTCCAAATAGTTCGTATCCTCGCTTTGCGTGAACATACAATGGGTGAACTGTTAGCAATAACAAAAACAAGTTTATGCAATATTCGTCGCACTCTGAAAAGTCTGGTTACCATCGGCGCGTTAAAAACAGTGAAACGGTCTATGGATTCCACTTTTGTTCTTTAGTACGTTGTTTATTTGTATGCATACTTTTATTTGGGTTATATGATTATAATGAATGTTTCTTTCAACACATGTAAGTTAGGCGTGGAAGTGAAATGAACATATGATTTGTTTCCAAGTTTAGTATCAATGTAATCAAGTTGTAAAGAATTAGGAAGTTCCACAGGGATTGTTGCGAAGACAGACTATCACTATTTTAACTCGAATATTATGTTGGTAAATTGTTCCGTTTTGAGAAAGTGGGAATGATTTTGTGCAACGAGCTTAAACTACTTAATTTAAATCAGTAGGCAAAATCTAAAGAAATTTCTAGTGGCTGGTGATGCATATTCACGTTGCTGCTCATATTATCTCTTACTCATAACGTTACAAACCAGGATGTTATACTGCGCAGCAGTTGGTTCCGTCCTACTTTATGGCAGTGAAACATGGCCGGTAAGAGTAGAGGATATCCGTAGGCTACTAGTATTTGATCATAGGTGTCTTCGAAACATTGCTCGTATATCATGGGACCATCGAGTAAATAACACAGTTGTTAGGACACGGGTACTAGGTAAGGATGGCAAATCGATTGATAAAGTGGTGAAACTTCATGAGTTGAGATGGCTGGGACATGTGTTACGTATGCCCAACGACCGACTGCCTCGATGTGCGATGTTTTGCTGTATAGGAGTAGATTGGAAGAGAGCTAGGGGCGGCCAAACCAAAACATGGCACAAGTCCATGAAGTCACTGACAAGTGGACTGAGTCATGTTGGTAGGTGTAGACTACCTGGTTGGGGACCACGAGATGATAGCGACCGATGGTTAGAGACCCTGAATGACATGGCTAAAAATCCACTCTGTGTTCTCCCAAATTCTAATCTTCTGAATTCTTCATGTCCCGTTTTTCCTCTTTCCAAATTTATTTCACTGGATTATACTCCTTGAATAACATCTTCAAACCCTAATTTTTCTGATTACAGCTTATAATTTTACTACATCTAACACTACGGGATTTGAATCGACCACTGCATCTCTGTGCTAATGTGGTGTGGCAACTCGAACTGATGTACGTACGTACGAAGTTCTACGTTGTTACTGATTGACTGACATGTCTGATAATATCTCAAGCCACTGTGTTCCTCCATCTCCAGAACTCCAACCAGAGGGTAGTGAAGGAATAACAGAAACCAGTTCTGTACAGCTTTTCTTCGTACCACGACACAATGTCATGCACTGACCACCTCTCCGCATTTTCCAACCGGTCCCGGCGTCGAAAAATAATCCTCAATGTAGAATTACTTGGGACGACATTCGTGGTACATGTCTAGAACATCGAAGTCAGTGTTTCAAGACGGTGACATCAATTGAAGTATCGTCTGTGTTCTTTAACACACGGTACTGAACCTTTGCATTACTGTCATAGACAATCCTAGAGACTAGTCCTGTTCAACGAATCGAAGGTGCCACGAATGTCAAGAAACATTACGATTGTTGACCTTTCATAAGTATGACGGTGTCTTAGCGTTTGACGGAGGGTGAAGATATGGTCAGTACATTCTCGATCAGAACGAAAACCAGCTTACTACTCTTGAGTTAATCTCCGATTTTGAACAGTCTACGAAGTATGACGGAAGCTAATAGTTTGGACGCTATCGGAAGCAGACTTGTCCCCCGACAGTTGTTACGGGAAAGACGTGAATCCTTTTTAGAGTTAGAGACAACTATCGACTCATTCCATGATGTTGGGGCACTCTCTTATTGCCAGATATTTTTCAACAACTCAGTTCCATAGTCAGAAGTTCTCCACCGTCTTTAAAAACAGCCGGAAGACAGTCATCTGGGCCTGGTGATTTGCGGCGCTTCAGATGTTGGAGTTCCTTGCGTACTTCAGTCTCGTTGAGTATTCGGGTCGTCACAGGCCATGGGGGGTAGGATTGTTTGACCGATGTTGCTGGGGCAACAGGCCAGTTGAACTGTTTTCCGAAAAACTCTGATCATCGTCCAAGACGTCGATAAATGTTAGTGATTGTCATCCCGTCAGCTTAATAGATTGTTTCACTCACAGCAGAATTCTTGCTGCCAGTGACTCGAGTAGGTTGAAAGAGCTTCAGGCAGTTACTAGATGCAACTACTGCTTTCAACTCATTAGCACGCTCCGACCACCAGGCTTGTCGCTCCTTACGCAAACGTTGGGAAATTTTCTTAATTAAGAATCTACACTTATTGTCACACTTGAGGTTACTCGGAGTAAAATGAAGTGCTCCAATGAACTGTAAGGAGCCTGTAGAAAGCCAGTGCTTATGGGTGGGACGTTTCGCGAGGCTACAAGTGACGGTCACCGTTATCTGACCTGGGGTCAACAAGTGCTGATTGGCCATCTAAACGACTCTCTTTTTTGCCTAGACGCGTGATCTGTGGATTTAAGTTTCCGGCTAGTACTATGGTTTATGTGGAACGCACTTCCTGTAAAAGAACACTTAACTGGTGATGGGATTTATCCTTGACTGCATCCGGGCTGCAACGTGTCGGGTCGTAATCGGAGATGACGAAAAGACATCGTTTCTAACACCGATTTCCGTTTCAGTTTGGAAAGGACATGAGGCTAGATGACCTGTGTTTGTCCTGGCAATGATGATCTCTCAGTTGATCCAACTTTCTTTTGAGAGGGTCGACAGAATAAGCTTCAACCTCGCGTTGAGTTAATGAATTCCACTAGTTGATGATTCGATGGGAAAGTCGATATTCAGCTGATGAGTAATTTGTTCTGGGCTTGTGAACATTTTTGGAGTGTCTTCGTAAATTCTCTGTTTTGGAAGACAAGAAAAGTGGGGACATACCAGATGTAAATTTATCACTAAGTAATTTGAAAACTGTAAACAAGTCACCTTTAGTTCTTCGTTATGACAGCGGGAGTAGGTGAAGTTTAGCCAGTCAAACGTGATACGGGAGTTTCGCTATTCTGGGAACCAGTTTGGTTGCTGTTCTCTGATCCTTTTCCAAAACCTCACTGTCTTTTTTTAGCTAGGGCTATCCGCTTGTATTCAGTACTCAAGTTTAGGACACACGAACACTATACACAAATTCAGAAATGTTTTAGCGTCGACATGGCTAAAGGCCCTACACATTGACCATAAGGTTCTAAAACCTTTGGCGGCTATTGCAGGGCAGTGTGCAATAGTCTTTAAGTCTTGGCTAACGATGACTCATAAGTCATTGTGTTTCAGGACATTTTTATTTATTTATTTTAACACATAGATATTGGTACAAGGAGGCACCAAATACATATGCGCTACACAAATCTCATTCGATATGTGTGAGGGCTGTGATACTGCCCGGGTGCCAAAACCGAAGTAGCTCACTGTTATTCATCATGTATTTATCTGTACATTGATGACCAATATGTGTCACAATACACTTGGAAGTAATTATCGGCAACTGTCAAGTTTGAGACCATTCAGATAATTTCTCCAGGTTATTTTGAAGCTCCAAGTTATCACCTTTACGTTTTATCACGCTCCATATCTTGACATCATCAGCATATAGCAAGACCGATGATGATGGAACTTCCTAATCTAACAGCACATAATCAACTGTTAATGGGGATCCAATCGATTAGTGCTGCCTCAGCTCTAGCGCCTAGTTCGATACAAACGCCAGCAGAACCAGATGAAGATATCAGTGTTTCCAGGTAAATGCACGTGAAACAAGCTTTTGTAAGCGAAAGTTTGAAGGCAAATTTATAGTTCTTTACGAGTCTCGAACACGGCTCCCAGATAGATAACCGAGGTCGATGTTGGGTCTTTCTAGGGAAATAGCCAACCCTATCTGTTGTCCCATTTGCATTAGTGTGCGAACATTAAAGGAGGCCAGTTTAAATGGTGAACGTGGTTTTAGAAAGGCTGGTTGAGTATTCGTAGTCGGTGGTAGTGTTGTGAACGAGAACATAGGTGGGGGCAACCACTATATTTTAATACAAAATTACAGAGTATCTTGGTAAAATATAAGAACCATGCATTGAATACTTCATTTGTGAATTTCCAACATTTGTCTTCCACATTCTGTGTGATTTATTAAGTTCACAGTTTCTTTCTACTTTCCCTTTTATTCTCTTTATCTCTATCTTCTTAACCTTTTGCTGCCACGTTTTCCACCTCCGATTGGTGTTACATACTACTTGTTGACACGAGTAGCATACATCACAGTAGACTCCAACTTTTTACCAGTCAATGGCTTGAGATCGTTTAGATAGGACGGGGTTGGTTTTCTTCGAGGGGCATACCCCGAGCCTTTGATCTATAGGGCTAGTCCACCTAGCAGTGAAGGAACGTTTAGAGACACAGTTCCGTGGTAGCCAGTGACCAACAATAGGTTCATACGCCATTTATTCCCTCAGGATCCTATAGCCGATGTGCACCATCGGTTTGGAATCAGGGTTTCCTAACTCCCTTATATGGATTCTCTGTACCCATCAATCCGGTTTAAGAGATGGATATTTATTTTTCCTCTCCTAAATTTTGTAAACAACACCCCACCTTGAGAATGCATTGAATAGGAGTTCCTTGGCAGTGCCTATATACGCGTGACCATATGAAAACATTTCGGGAGGGAGAGGAGGTTCTCCTTTGAAGTGATTGCGAAGATTTATAGCTCAGGCGCGTGCTTTTAGTGTTGTTAAGTTCTGTAATCTAGATCGTTTAATTATGAAGTTTTTATCATCGTTATGAACAGCATCATCAGCGCTTCCTTCATGTCAAAGTGAGATTTTTAGTCACTCAGAATAACAATGAAAGCTTCTCAATTAAATCAGCAACAAAATTGTTTTTACTCAAAGGTAGACTCTTTTTTGTCAATTCATTTTTATTGATATTCTAGTCAATTTTTTTCTTTCAAATTCCGTTCATTAGCTATAGCCTATTCACTGATAATGACAGAATAGAAGCTCGGAAAAATAAATTATCTAAGTCTTCAAGTTTACAAATATTACCAACAGTTCGTAAGTTGTAATCATTTTCGCTATTTTAATTTACCATTATTTCTCTACTTTTCTATAGGATGCAGGGAAACCCTTAAGTCCAATAATTTGCATTTCCGTAGATGCATAAGAATCTGTTACGAAGCTTTAACTTAAAAGACGATTTAAATAATTAGGAACGTGTTTAGTTTATGAATGAGCGTGTATAGTGTAAACCAGTTGTTCGACCTTCATATCATTTGTACACTATGGCTTTGAACTGTGTATTAGAAAACTAACTTGTTCAATTAATTTATGTGTAAATAAGTATTATTCATTTCTAGCCCTGTAACCAACCATCTTAGAAGATAAAGTTGTTCATCCTAGTTGCATTTTGGTTTTTCTTTTTGTTTAGAAATATGTCGGTGAAGAATAAAGTTTTAACGGATTGTAGTTTGGAATTTTATGATGTTTACGTGGTAAATTACATCGTATCCAAAAGTTGATGTATATATAGAAGAATTTGAGTGCATATATAAAGCTAATGGACTTCATCCTATAATGTTTTCTGTTCCATTAATCGTATTAAATGTCAATTTTTCCATCACATTGTTGTTATAAATAAGCTGTGTTACATTTTTCCCGTTATCTATTTTAATTAACCATATTTTGGGTAATTAACTTTCTTCAGAAACACAAAGACAAAACCGTCGAGAATTCGTCCTCAATTATTTGTCAAAATATCGTATAATTGCTTCTGAATACTCACTGCGTCAGTTGATATGGGATCATGAACGTTCGATTGGCTTAAAAATTCGTATGGACCGCAAATCGTTACGTAGAATTTTGGATGAACTAATTCAATCAAAACTGGCTACCATAATCAAAACGAAATCACTGAAAGGAGACGTAAGTTGATTTTAGGTTGTATATGATACGTCTCTTTGTTTTAGAGTGCATTTATTTAAAATATTTCACGCATAAACAATGCTTCCTACCAATTTTTTAAAATCTGAAATACCATAATATTTATTTAAGCTATTTTCGCGTTCACTTATGATCAGAAAATGGTTTATCAAGAAGATTAAACTTGAAAATGTGGAATATCATGAATTCAGACTAATTGACTGATTAAAATATAGTGGCATTTCAGTCAGTCATTGTAAATTTTAGTAGAATGTAATTTACCGTAGAAAATCACAAAAATTACAGCAAGTTTGTGGTTTTATAATTCCAAGAATTAATTCACTTGAAACACCTTGATTCATTATGGTTAAGGCGATCTCCTTAGCCTTACGTTTTCTAGAAAAGGTATCCTCGAGTTTTTATGTTGTACTTTAACAACCTACATTATATTAGCTAGATTTAATGCTAATCTTTCTCAGTGATTTAAAATATAATTTAGTATTATACATTACTGTCCTTTGTTTTTACAAAACATTTATACAAATATTTTCATGGTGCCTTATTGAGACTTTAGTTTGTTAAACACGTCTTTTTTTCAGTATGGGGTTATGGAGATTATTAAGTTTTTGATTGAGATCATGAATCGATTGATGTTAGACCACCATTGAAAACCTGGATGCACTAGACGGCTGTTTCGTCCTTTTTTGTAAGCATAAGATGCAACTGAAACGCACAAAATCACAGTTTTAAACATTTGATTGAATATATTAAACATTTCAAGGTATTTTAACAGAATCCTAATGAATAGCTTAATGAATAGATCACACATGCGATTTCCACTTGTTTGATGACTCATGATGTCATTCTTACAACGAATTCTTTTTTACTTCCCGTTTCTATGTGCCATACCATCACTAGTCTTTTGGACTTGAACTTTGTCCACTACGTTAATTCCGTTCTAAATAAATGGGTAAATACGAAATTTCTCAGATTTCAGTGCTTTTTGACAACAAACAAGCTCAGCAGATTCTTAGTTGTATAAGATTGGCAAAATACCTTTTTATATAGCAGTCATTTTCGTTTGTCACATTTTTGACTCATATTTTCTCTCTCCATGTCTTGTAATAATACTAACGATACTACTATTCATAAACCTTATTCTTTCTTAATAGGTTACTTTTATTTGTCAACCGGATGTCAAAGAAGATGATCCATTAATATTAACAGCGATTAAAAATATGGACTTAGCAGCTCTTCGTAATTTGCCTGTACAGAATGAGAAATCTTCATCTGTCATATTCAATGCTGATCAAGTTTCAATGATTGAAGGTGTTGATCATTTGTCATCTGAGGTATGGAATTGTTAATAACTCTTCAATCACATAATGTTTTCTTCGATACATATACTCCTTTAGTTACTATAGTTTTCATCAATAAGTAGAACTCACCTTTGGTTGTCAGTTTTACAACCATATGCTTTTTTACATTTTTTACATAATCACGTTTTTTTGATGCTCAATTCATTTTATATATTCTAACTGAAATTAAGCTACAAATGCACAAAGATATTGAGATTTTGAAATGAAGTATTTTTACACTTGTAAATTGACTAGCTTTAAATGTGAATCATATTATAAGGACCAAGTATCTGCAAGTAGAATGAATGTCCAGTAATTTAACTATAGAGTTTGTGTACATACTCGCTTTATAGAACCATTTGTAAATACTAAAATGCATTGAGATAATAACGATGTGACTTTTCCAAATCTGAAATATTTCACTTAATTGTTTTAGAATCTGCTATTTATTCTATCTCTTGTTCTCAAACTTAGAGTTGGAATCCTAATATCTAGATTAGTCGGTTATACCAATCTTTACCACTCGATGCTCTATAAAATAAGTCCCGTTAGAAAGTTTCGAACAAAGTAATTGGTCTTTTATTATTATTATTATTATTATTATTATTATTATTATTATTATTATTATTATTATTATTATTATTATTAATGGCTTTATTCAGTATTATCTTTTCGGTACAATGTAAAATTCTCAGCACAAAGTATTTCAACGAGTTTTCTTATTTCTTGATCGATCCTGACGATAAATATCGAGCGATCGCCAGTCAGGTGTTAGTAGTTTAGGAATCGACATGTGAATAGTGTTTGTTCTTTTCAATGCATATTGCCAGCCATCATAATGTCTCTGAGTGTACTTTCTTTTGTAACTTGCACAACGAAAGGTCGTAATCTTTCCACAAACGCTCTTGAATAGGTCATGCGGTTAATAGACGCAATGATGTGTTAACACATCACCAGGTACTTGAGTATGAGTCATATTCTAAGTGTGAGGACTGATGGTACTACCCAGTAATCCAAACCAAAGTAGATGGAGCGAGTTTAAACCTAGGACTATAGTGAACCCATACCTTAAAGTCGAAGACCTTAACCACCAAACCACCTCACTATTTTATACTTCGACTCAAAGTAGTATGATTACTCAATCTTAAAAGTTGTGTGTTTGTGTATTGGATTATGAAATTATCGTTTTACCACCGTTTAATAAGTATAATATTGAAAATGTACATCAATAAATTCGATTTCAAGTTCTTAACTTTACAATAAGTTTGTTTTAAACATAGTTACACTTGTAATTAGTTCAGTGAGGATGATCTTAAAATGCATTTTTTTTTGGCGTGGATGAACTAATTTCGTTTTTTAACGTAAAGTGAGTTGTAATTCAAAAAGTACAATTTTTTAATTGACTGATTACTCCCAGAATTTCAGAGTTTTAATTTTAAAACAAGTTAACTGGTGAATAATGAGCCCATTTACACAAAGTTTCGAATATCGAAATCTTTTAACTTATTTGTTTTATCTTTAGGCTATGACTATTGTGTTGCATAAAATGCCAGGATTACCAAAGATGCGTCGACGTTCATTGATTCATGAGTATTTATTTTACATAATATATGGTCTGTCTACTAAATCACGCCCTGTCAAACCTCAGGTAAATTGTTGTATTTGAGAATCTGTAAATGTTTCGTACTTCTACATATGCAAACTACTTCACGTAATACTACTTATTGGTTTATTCTTGACCATTTAATAACTTTTCTGTTGTTTAATGAATACTTGCGAATTTAATTTAGCATGTTAAGCCATGTGATGGGGAGACCCAGAAAATTCCTCGAATAAAGCCTAAAGGGGCCCTAAAGACACTGGGAAACATTTTATGTAATCGGTATTGAACAGAAGTCTCTCAGAAACATCAGAAAGTGAGGAGTCATTTGTCATATTTTTGAATGAATGATTACCTATGCTGCTACTATGTTTACTAGGGTTCCAGAAGCCTAAGGCCATTTGAAATACTATGAACGCTCTCATTTTTCTGTACATAACCTAACATTGGAGTAAAGCGTTCTTTCCATATTAGGCACCTTTTCTCTTGTGTTCAAGTTAGTCTTATAGAGTTAGCCTGGGGTTGTTAGAAGAGCTTAGGAAACCGATTCAAGCGTTCAGTTACAAAAATCATCATCATGGATCTGTAGTTGTTGCTTGTATCTCAGCTCTCAAATCGTAGATTCCAACTTACTCTGTTACCTAGGCCAGGGCAGTGTTGTTGGCTCTCGTCCAATCTGGGTGAATCATTGATTCGTAATCGAGACTAAATGTGACTATTCAATCATATTTCTTTAAAGTTGGGCTTGAAAAATATAGGGGCGGGCAAATCGAATCGTGGCTTTAATACAGAAAGAAATTCACTACTGGTTTAAACTTTTTCGGTTGCTACAAACTTCGTGATTGTGACCCCTGTGATTATCATGATCAGTAGCTGGAGTTAAGTATAATTCATGACTTTTCATTCTTTTACCTCAGTAAATGATTTTAAAATATATTCCTTATACTTAGTTTTCCACTCAATATTATCCCTTCTTGTTTGTTAGACATTGTGGTATTGTACTCTCTCGTTCTGTTTAAATTATGTGTGACAACTCGAGACTGTACATATTCGTAACAAAGTTCTACATCAACTATGATGTACTAACCATTGAATTAGGATAAATTTCATTTATTTTTCGTTTTTTTTACTGACAGTTAAGTAGTACAGTCTATCTGAATCGAATAAATATAGCTCATCTTTGTTCTCGAACATATGTTTACAATATTTTTGAGTTGTTGGCCGAGATTCAAATTCTCTACGGTTTACAAGATATAGCAGATCAACATTATTTGGCACTTAGGTCATTGCATGGGTTTCTTGATTCTACTTTTAAATTATATGTTAATATTATTGGTTATTGCTTAGGTGATGAGATTAAGGACACTTTTTAATGTGTTTACCTATAAATTTAATGGGAATCAAAGCCTTAATTATAGTTAATGCTCGTTAAGATACCCTCGTAGATAATAAGTTCTTAATTTGCTTCTTGAAAGTACTTTAGTAGGCAGACAAATTTAATTTACTATCGGTAAATACTGCTATGTGTTTGGTTTCATAACTATCTACCACTAAGTATTATCCGTGAACAGCTTCATTTTTTGTATTGACATCATCGAATTTACACATGCTATCTTTTGTTTTATAGACCAAAAGTGAACCTCCAGTCTATTTGGATGACGATACGTGGCGTCGATATGTAGCGCCTTTAGATCCAATGAAAGGTAATAGTCGGGATTTACTGAGTGTCCATATCTACTGAGATAACTGCTTTAATGATAGTGACACCAGGATGATTAATACAATCAGTAATCATTAATCGTTTCAGTACCTAGTTGTATAAAGATGAATTGAAAAGAAAACTAGATAATTATTCACTTGTAGTCACTATGTAATGACGAAAATGCTAATTAGTAAAATACTGGGATGACTGTCATTTCATATTCGTTCGACTTGAAATTATCAAATAGGTAGGATAACTGGTCATATCGTAATGAACGAGAACTCAGGTGGGAACAACTAATTTACTGTTTAGTACAAAATTACCGAGTTCTTTCGTAAAATGCGAAGACCATACATTAAATACTTCATTTGCAAATCTTTCATCAGTTGTCCTTCACATCCTTCACGATTCTTTCAATTCTCAATTCCCTTATGTTTTCTTCAGTTTATTCTTCTCAACCTTCTGACGCATTCCACTTCCGATCGGTATTACATACTACTTATGTCGACAGATGTAAGTATCATACACCACAATATAACCATACCCTATATCATAGTTCAGTCTTGCATTTGCTATGTTTGAGGAGATTACGAGTTCACCAGTGACACAATGACCAACAAACAACTCCCAGATTTTAGCTAAAATATTTATCAACCTAATCGCTAAAATTGGACCAATATCCTTAAAGACCTCTGGAGCCAATCCATCTGGACCTGCTGCCCTACCTCGTTTCAGATTAGATAACGACCCAATAGTATTTAAGTTCCTCATAAGTAGGAAGTATGATATAAAGGTGAGAATGGGTGTTTTTGGCTCGAAAACAAGAAATTCAAATTTTTAAAATAGAATTTACCAAGTGAGTTCTGGGGATCTAACATGTCCAACAACATTTTAGAAGAAAATTATTTGAGTTATATCTATAGAAGTATATATTATAAGATGAGATGCTTTTGAACAATTTATCAACACCAAGATAAAAGTTGATCATAGGTAAAAATTAAAAAAAATTATCTAATCTCCATTTAGGTTCAACTTCTAACAATTGTAATTTATATCTCAAAAATTCATGTTTTACTTTTGATATCTATCACTGCTTATACTTAGTTCTTAATCGTTTGATTTTTGCGATATTATATACATATGTATTAATTTATGATCGAGTTTGTCAAATCCTTTACAACCGACATATCTTCTTTGTAGATATGAATAGGGGTTGGTTTCTAATTGGTGACGTTTTACGTGGTATACCGTTTGGTTTATATTTAAGACTTACAATTACTACTTCATTACCACGTATATTATGTCGATGGCTTAAACTTGATCATTTATTAACTAATTTAACCCAAGAAGAAATTGAACATTTGGATTCAGAATTGGCACGTTTTCATCATACTAACATGTTATATCAAAAAGATATTCCACCTAAAGAATTGTTACGATATCCTTTAAGATATGTTGAATTACCAGGTGGATCAAGAGGCCCTCTTAATGATTGGTTATTATCTGCTAAGAAACTAAGATCATTATGCTCAATAATTGAAGATATCTCTGGTGTTACTGGTTTAATCTCTATGCAAAAGAAAACTACTTCACAAGCTAAAACAAGTGTAAGTTTTCATTGGTTCTGTTATTAATTAACAGCATGGTATACCTGGTTTCATATGATTCTTCCCATTAATAAATTTGACCAAATCAAGAATAATTAACGTTGTAGAATAATGACATAAACTTACTATATTTCGCGACTTATCATCTGCTTACAACTTCGAAGCATAATAGTATGAATCATTAAATATAAGCTATGCTCTATATTAATAACATCGAAGTCCTCATTAGTGGAGATTTAATGTAAAAAGCAGTCAGTATGGAAGACCAATAAGAGATGCTCATGTGTAAATTAATGTGATTATATATAGCTTTAATGTATGAATATTCTACAATAAAAATCCAAGCATATAAACAGTATTATTTAGAAAGGTGATATTAATGTTATAGTTATGTAGTCCTTGAAATATAAATTAAAATTGACTAGCTTATTATAAACCAAATAAGGAGTGAGAATTCATAATCAACCTATAAATATTCACATTAATTAACACATGAGCATCTCTCATCGTTGTTCCATTCTGACTGCTTTTTACATTAAATCTTCACTGATGAGAACTTCGATGTCATTAATATAGGGTATATCAGCTTATATTTAATGATTCATACTATTATGCTTCGAGGTTGTAAGCAGATGATGAGAAGTCGTGAAGTGTGATAAATTTATGTTATTATTCTACAACTTTGATTGCTCTTGATTTAGTTAAATATATATAATTATATTTTCAAGTATACTAATCAAAAATCTTATTCTTTTATAGATGCTTGGTTTTCTTCATCGTCAAGCAAGTTTGCTTGACACACGTTTTGCTATGCCAGCCTATCAAATTTTTACTAATTTGTCACAGACAAATGTAATACACTTTGATTTTCAATCCTCCATAGATGTTGCTAGTTATTGGTTAACAAGTGAAACGATTTCACGCAGTTCTCCCCTTGGTAAATGTTTATTAATAATAATTAAGTAAACAATTTACTTATGTGTTTGTATCATCTTTGTATTTTTTTAAACCTCTGTATAATGCGTATACATCTAACTACAGGTGACTTTACTCATAGCTTTCTTTTCTCATTGGTTAACTCTATGGAGAACCTCAATTAAAGGTTAAGTAGTTTTTTGATTTCTTTATATACTACTCGTGTTCACAATCTAATCGTGCATTGTTGTTTTATAGTTTTAAGGATACACAGGTGTAACGTGAAACATTTTGATTTTTTGTCTAGAGTGTGAAGGTCTTTTGCATGTGTAGTGTGTAAGTAATGTATCTGGTTGTAGATTCACAACTCTATGTTGTTTTGAATGTTTTTAGATGTACTTTGTACTTAATGGCCTTCTACCCGAGTACGTTGTGTGTTAGTTGAAACAAGAAGGGATTCGCATAAGACTCACTAATTCATGTTATCAGCTAACTGCTATACCAAACTGTAGGTCGTAATTTTTTAATCCCTTTTAAAACAGAGATCCTCAACTCGGATAACGTAATTTCCCTCAATCCTACTGCATCCTTAAATATTGTTTGCTTTGTTAATTTTTATTTAAATATAATTTTTTATTTTATGTTAAGCTATTTTTCTGTGTGGTTTGTTTGGGAAATTATCTTTTGTTACGTTACCAATGGTTTATGGCATGTTACATCTCATTGTTCGATCTGTACTTCACTGAAACATTTCTGCAGTCCTGCAATTATCGGGGATTGTTAATCTATTTAATAGAGTTGTAGACATTAGTATAATGACCACCTGTAATTTTCTAATGGGGAATGTGTTTTTGATTTCCATGTTTCTTCAGAAAGCTTCTCACATATTCATATTTTACTCTATTGTTTCTGGATCCTTTGAATAATTTTTTATTTGTAATTTATTGGCTTGATGATAACTTTGTTCCTCGCCTGATATGTAGATTTGGAAATTCCTGTTAATGTAAATGCTTGTCAAATTTAAGCTGTTTCTACTGTCTGAATAATATTATTTGCCGATTGCAGTAACTTGATGGCAAACAAAATTAGAATTTTTGACCAAGTAATTTAGACTTGAAGTCGTCCAGAGTTTTTCACCTATCGAATGTTTTCTCATTCAAGTTACATTGTGACCACTCGTTAAGTGGGTAAAAGTAGTCGTCAAGATGCCCTGGACCAATGTTTCATGCTATTTGGCATTGCTGACTACATCTGACCACCGCCTTACATCTCAGTATAGCTCATGCCATGTCGAATCACTTAGAGTAGTGGCCACATTGGAACTTGATCGATGGAATTCGGTCGGCACTTAGAAGGATTCGGTATACATGACTAACTGTAACCATCACCTTACAACTCGTTACTGCTTTTATCATTCATTCTTACAGTGCCATAATGATATAATGTCAGTATACACGTCTGTTCACTCTAAAATTTAATGATTATTTATTATTTACTGATAACTACTCATTGGACACTGGAATTCACAGAGTTAAATAAAGCGTAGTCGATGACAAACGGATTAATAAGCAGTTTCTAATCTTCAATTTTTCATGTACATGTTAAATCAGTATTACACTGTTAGCTACTTCATTATATAAACCTATTGTACATTACTTTTTGTTCAATATATATTTTCAGTATATATATTTTGTCTGTTCCAGGCCATAATTCAGTTAAGGATGAAATAGATTCGGAACATGTACCACCAATAGTACCAAAAGTTTCTTTCGAACCTATAGATGATGGTTCTTTGATTATTCCACAATGGCCGGAAGATATTATGTCTAAGTTTAGGACTGTTTTAGCTGATGGTACAGAAGTATTTCCTTGTGGTGTCTGTGGATATCATCCAGCTGACTGTACTTATAATGTACGGAATTGGGGTGCTACACGTCACAATAAATCGAAACGCAAAGGAGATTTAGACGGAATTTTAAATCTTTTGGATGAATTAACTGGCTTAGACGATGCTTATGGTTTCGTTACTCCAAGTGATGAACTTTTCTGGCGTTGGTTTCCTAGTTTATTTGCTGGTAAGTTCGGTATTTTGTGATCACTGGCTTTTTATGTTCTCATTCATTGAAAAGAAATATCATATGGAAGGAGTGAGCGTAGTTCACGTTCTCATTTTCTTAATAACATTTAAACTTTATGTTAGGTAATATTAAGTAAATATGTGACTAACATGCTAATACAATCGATTTGACGAAACTATGTTAGTCTAACTGTTATTTGTTATAAATCAACATTGATAACGTTTTCTTTACTTCTGCCCTTTTTCTATTGGATTACTAACTCATAAAGATATATTTTTTATTGAGGTGAATCTTTAGTTAGTACTTGTCTATTTTTTAAGTTTAAGTCAAATTGGAGGGAACTTATCAGTTAGCGAATTCAATACATTATCATGATTGTCTGCTGCTCAACACTTGCTTTGTACGTGTATAGGTGATGGATTTAATTCGAGTAAATAATTTCTTTTGTGACTGAAATATAATGGGAGATTTCTTCCAACTTTCTTCGTAATCTGTTAAAATAGTCTAAGCATTCACAAATGTCTTTCTAATTAGTTTGGAAAGTCAAGAATGAACTAACGATATGATATATACCAATAACAATATCTGTATCTCCTGTTCAGTAAACAACAAATCATATTTCTTGGTAATTTAAGCTACATTAAAAATCTGTTTGATGGACTTTGATTATCTAAAACTGTAAGTTTGTTAGCTAAGTGGTTATGGCTCATATTTTTATGTAGTTCTTTTGTGTGTGCAGTTTTATTGTAGATTTTCTTATTTCTTTTTCAGATCTCAATGTACCTTCTGTTTTACAACCAGTGAATACACCACAACCAATACGTAAACAGTCTAATAACACCCGTTATTCACGGAATATTCGTTTTCGTTTCTGTGAGAAAGATATGAATAAGAAGAATGATCTGCAAGAAGACAATCGTTTAACTCATGATAAACAAAGGATAGAAGTTCGCGATACTGATAGCATCTTAAAAGATATATGTCAGCAAAATGCTCTAGATGCATCAGGAGATATTGGGAGTATAAGTCAACACTTATCATCATCTGAAAATAAAGAAAATGTAATCAATGGATACTCTTCACAAGTATCGTCTAATTTCGCTCTTCGTAAAACAGGTATACGGAAGTTAATATTTTTCATATTCATTTAGGACTCTTTAGATTCTCATTCTTTAACTTCTCACTGATTCTCTGTAATTAGATTTCAGACTATTTAATTTATTCCCTAGTTTAATATTTCGCAAAATGAGAATCGAAGTTTCATAATCTGTGCGAAATTTCCAAGTAATTACTTCATATATGTGAATCAACTGACGTTACTCACAGACTGAAATCTAAGCTTTAAGATTATTTTTAAACATGGTGTTACAGTTTAGTGATTAAAATATGCAACATTTCACTATTGGATCACAGCTTCAAAATATAATCCAATTGCTTTGATTTGGCTTTTCAGATAGTACCACTATGTTCCATAAACGAAAGTATAATTCCAAGTTGATTATATGTATTATTAAGTTGAACTATTGTTTACTGAGTTCTTTTAATACACGTTTATTGAAATCAACAATAATTAGTTTACAATTGTTTTTACCATGAAACCAAACATTGAGCGCCATACTTGTTTCACTTTTCTTTCAGTTGTGGTACGTCGAATACGTGGAATTTTGAAACAACGTAAAAGTAAGTTATTTATGATATTTAATTTAATAATTAAAATTTTCTAGTGGTTAGCTAACTTCAACCAATGGGTTATGTGCACAGATTCATATTTGATTAGAATGTGGAACATTATGTATATTTATTCGAAAAAAATTTTTATACGTCTCTTCATGTAGGATTAATTTTGAATGTGGTCAATTATTTCTGCACTTATGTGGCATTTACTGAGTGTTCAAATCTTTAGAGAAAGCAGTGATCAGACTCCTGACATCTTTTTCTTAAACATGTTGATAAAAGAAATTTAGTACACTGATTGCGACACTAAAGAAAATAAACATGTATACTAAATCACAGTCAGTCATAACCACCATAGAGCTTGACACATATATGCATCTGTTCGAGTTGCCACAACATCACATCACAGTGAGCTGAAATTATCAAAATAGATGCAAGAGACGAAAAAGTATTGACGTTTCGTCAGTTAATAGTTCACACAATAAAGGCAATTAAAATAATCGGAACCGGTTAAGCTTATATTGATAAACATTTTTAAGAATATATACAGTTCGTTTATAGTTCTGAAACATGGTTAACACTACGTGATTCCATATAAACTGTCCTGTTTTCATTTCTTGAATAATAATAAATATTGGTTTTAAATACTACACAATGTGTATATGTGACGCCTCCTGTTTGCATCATAAAGTTCTTTCTGGTTCACTATGTTATGTAACCTAGTGATTGGAAAAGTTTACGAATGCATAATATCCTACCAAAATTTATAAGTTAAATAACAGTTAGTTATTTAAAGTAAGTTTTCTTAAAAGTGTTACTGTTTCGAAGTTTAATTGTGATGCCAACCGTATGGACAACTAAGTCGACTGTCATTGTCATTAAAAATTATAGTTAGACTGCATTAAGTCTCTAATTACTTATGCTTTGCTACCCAATGATCTAACTGTAACATTTCAGTGTCCAATTGGTCGGAGTGTTGTTCTCCGATTGGTGTTTCTACCTCATATTAGAAACTCATTTTCATCAGCTCACACATCTCGTGGGTAATTCCACTAAAGCTAACTAGTAATTAAGAAACTATGAAAATTATAGAAAATGGCCTCTAATTTATATATACATATATTTTTCTTTCTCTTCAGAAAAACCGAGTTATGCTCAATCAGGTCCTTGTAAGTGTTTCAAAAGTTCATCCTTTTTTTACGTTCATATGCTTATTTTACTGAATAGATATTCATATACACTCGGAGTGAAATGTAAGCCATCCGACCACCATAGTTATTTAATATTTGTATCATTGTTTCGAATTAAGCATAGAATAGTTTGCCGTTTCAAAGTAAATCAAATTAAATGTACTTAGCCTTGATCATTAATTCCAATTATTACTACTTATCAGTAATAATATGTGTCCTCATAATGTAGCGATGCATGTACCTTCGAAAAATGATTTTGTTGATTTTATAACTTTAAAACAACTGTCTACCATTATTTAAATCTGTATTCATCCAAACGCCCGAGTTTCATTATATGTACTGATTTAATGTTATCACGAGGTTAATCTTATAGACCTTATTAAGTTAATACTATTTATATTATCTGCTTGGTGTATATTATTACGTTGTCATGAATTTGGAATTTATTGGAAAAATTAATACTCAATAACCTTGAGTTATTGGTTTTGCCCTCAGTAGGTAATCTTCATTTCTATAAGCACAGGATATCCATATTTTTGTATGAATATTTTTAGCTCTAGTTGTGAAAGTATTTCACTAATGAAAGTGCCTGCATGATAGATGTAGTCAGAAGTGATGTGCGAATCACTTGAAACTCAAGCTTGTTCGTCGATAAGATTGCAAAAGCGTACTCATCTGTTTATCTATTACAACTGAAAAAAAGTTGGAAAAAACCATAGAGTTCATCCCTTATGCACTATGATGACAACTTAATTAGTACATTGTTCGATTCGAAAATCATAGATCAATTATTCTTAATAACTATTACATATAGACTGTCCTTAAACTACTGATTTGGTTCTTGTCGAACTCCAGGAGTCAAAATCTCTTACAATATTTCCCTGAAAATGTTCTAGACATAAAATTATGTTTATTGATGTTACTTTATTGGTAAGTTAACATTATATTAGTTATTATTATATTAAAGGATAATAAATACTCAGTAATTTAATTTTATCTTTTCTTCATTTTAGTGATAATTATTAAAACGAGTATATAATTCTTCGTACTAATAATATTTGTTACCCTCCTGACTTCCTCTCTAATTTGTTCTTATCCTCTTTTCACGAACAGACGATTTGTATCTTCGTGCTCCTCGTTGTACCTGGTCTAAATTGGAAGATCGTTTGGTTAGTTATGTTGTATTAAGATTTTCTCTTCACGCTATCTATTTATTCTCTATTTGTATTGAGATTATTAAATTAGAGGAGAGTGGGAAATTTACCTTTTCTTTGTAGTAGTACGTATATTAAATCATTTGCATTCCAGTGTATTAATATCCATATGATGTGTTAATCACATTCATCTTATCCTAACATCAAGTTTGTTGTCCTGTCGTTGTTATTTTAGAAGTAAATTAAGTAAATGTGCAAATGAGAACATAAATCCTTGTTGAGTTGTTAGCCTATGGTTTTGTCGATACGTATTCACTCAATGAAAAATAAATGAATTTACTGTCAGTATAGGGTTTCGGAGATCGTTGTTCTTCATTGAATTCACAAACCGATCAAAGTTAAATAACCATTGAAGACATGAAGTACTGGGTAATGTATTCGCACTACTGAGGAGTCCCACACTAGGAATGAACGGCCATCCAGTCTCTCAGGTTTTCAATGATTGCTTAACTTTGATCGGTCCTTGATTTCAATAGTAAATGAATTAATATTTTCTTTTCAATAATTTCCAAACAAGTTCACTTTAAACTTAACAGTTCATGTAGTCGATAGGTTAATGAGTCCATAATATTTTGAATACATGTTTATTAAGAACGAATTTGCAATTTTTACCACCTTATGATTGTAATGTTTGTCATTTTTGTAATAATAATGTGTTTTCGTAGTGTGAAGTTCCAGTATTTTTTAAATTTATAGTTAGTGACCTGTAGAGTGGCATCTTTGTTGATCGCTGGAGAAAATCGTAGAGAATATGTTAGTGCACCTTATACATTTGTTCGTGATGTACTGTATCGTTATGTCCCTCAGGTAAAGTGGGAAACTTTTTGCTTTGCATTATATGATCCTTATACACATATTTTTAATCATACAGCTAGAGAACATCATTAGCAATCCATAATACGTCAAGACCGTTTTCATAGTTTACTTACAGTAGGTGAGGAATACGTATTTGTAATCGCTCTTCATATTACTACAAACTTCTTAAGATCATTTTTCTGTGGACTAGTTTTGGTTTCTATAATGGCACTTATCTACGGTTTTCACTTGTTTCAACATCAATTTATGCAGGTTTATAGGTTTTGAGCGATTGCTATTCAAAATAATCGAACTTCTTGAGCATTAGCATCATTCATTATACATGCACAATCTTGTATTTAGAAACCAAATGTACTAATAATAACTAGTGCTTAAAAATAATGATACTTGCCTGAAAATGTTATTTCTAATGGACTGTATCATACACCGAGATTGGGAACCGTGATTTGACATATTCTTTTAATCAATTGTATCAATAAGAAGATTTTATGCATCTCTATCGTTTCCTTAGTTTCTTCGACTAATGAATTCAGTAAAGCAGAATTCACTGCATATTTAATAGTGAAACATTTTATCAAAAGGTCAAGTTTAAAGTTTTTCCTTTAATATCCTGTTTAGTTACCGTTTAACAATTCAACATTTCTTGATTATTTCTTTGTTTATGTCGGAAACAGTTAATTCGTACTTAGTCTAATGGTTTACAGTTTCAGTAGTTACGTTTTGTTTTTATCTGCTGTTAGTATTTGAATAATTTCATACTTATTTAAGACTAATCATGCAGAAAATCATGTATTCTTATTATCTACTTATGGATTGCCATCGTCAAGTGGATATCGTACATCATGTTCTTTAAAACAATCATCATAGTTTTTCTTGGATTTTCCAAATGTCACTTAAGACCATTTTTCTTGAAGAGCATTAGTCATTTAAATTTTATTATCTGAGTATAAGATTTCTTCTGTGTCTATGTGTTTATTTACACTTACAACCTGATCAACAACGTCTTCGATGACATCAAGTTCACCATGGAACAGGAGTCAAACAACCAACTAGCATTCTTGGATATACTGATCACTAGAACCGACACAGGAAAACTGGAAACTCAAGTGTATAGGAAACCGACCCACACGGATCAAATTCTCAACTACAATAGCAACAACCCCAGAGCTCGCAAAATCAACTGCGTACACAATTTGTTCAAGAGGGCGAGGACACACTGCAGCACACTGGCAGTACGAAGAAATGAAGAGAAATACCTAAAAGATGTATTTCAGAAGAACGGCTACCCCATCAACTTCATCAAAAAATACCAACCGCATGCAGCATTAGAACTCAAGTCAAGCACAAAAATAAACAAAAGGATCACCCTACCATATATACAAGGAATATCAGAAACCGCGACGAGACTGCTGAAAACCTTCGGAATAGGTGTGGCACACAAACCGACAAAATCACTACAATCAATCTTATGCAAACCAAAAGATGAAATAACAAAAGAAAACAAATCAAACATCATCTACAAGATAAATTGTGCCAACTGCGAAAAACACTATATCGGACAAAGTGGACGCCCCCTTCACCTTCGCCTACATGAACATCAATTAGCAGTCAAACGGCATGATATCTCTTCACTTATCTCAATACACGTGGACAACTGCGGACACTCATTCGACTGGAAAAATGTGGAAATCTTAGACAGAGGAAACTCCAAAAACACCAGAGAATTTTTAGAAGCCTGGCACTCAGGTCAATCAGCAATCAACAAGCATATTGAAATCAATCCAATTTATCAACCAATCAGAAAAATCATGCACAAACATAAGAACAAAAATCAAAACAATGGGAGACACAACCAAAACAAAGAAGTAAACAACGACAAATTTAAGGTCAATAAGAACCAACCAACGTCGAGGTGCACAGAACAAGCTTTGAGACACATATGGAGAAATTCAAACACTTCACTTCTATCTGAAGTTTGTGCTGATGATGTCGTTCAGAAGAACGATGAAAGCTCCACGACCAAACCATCCAGCTCAGAGAACAAAACTCCACCAAAATCATCCACCTGAGCTACAAATCTTCTCCACCATTTGTGATTGCTTCATTTATCGTGAATAGCTAACGTCTTGCGAGTTGTTCTAGAAACTTATGTTCTAACTGTTGTATTGTATATTAATATTCGTCACATCAATCAAATCACGGTTTCTCGTTGTTTTATTAAAAATGGTCACTTTTGTATGTGTCATGTATTCATTCCAGAAGGCTATAGCATTGTTCCTTTAGTGCAAGAGGTTGACAAATAGGTTCTGAATTGATAACTTCCCGGTTCGAGACACGCCAGCCACCTGTGAAGTGGTTGGTCAGTTTTTAGTGATAGTTCACCCATTCTAGCTTCTGCCACACTCTTCATTTGTTTCTTTTCTGCTTTTATTAACAGTTGCACTGCTTAAAAACTCCTGTAACTTGTGCCAGGCGACTTAAAAATCTTTTGTTAAGCAAAGGACCTGAATGGGTATCAGGCAAATTACTTTTCACACGTGTTTCTAGTCGACCGGACTGGCAGTTAAAGGTAAATATTTTTTTTGTATTTATAAAAATAGTATTCACTATAAACTAATATCAACTTGAAATCTGCTCATGTCCAAACAACTCACGACAACATCGTTTTGTTGTAGTATAAGACGTTTCAGTATTGCTTATCCTTAACTTAGCATAAAGTTGGGTCAAGATAGTGTTAGTTCATGACGGAAACTAAATAAAACTACATACCTTTTCATTGAAACCTTAACAAAATTACTTTTTGTTCGATAACCTGTTTTCTCAAAAGTTTGATTTGTATTTTCATACTTCAGCCATGTATTTTAGGTATTTATTCTATTCTACTTACAAGTAGCTAAAATTATGTCGAAACGTTTACGAAACGTTTTAATCATCGTTATTCATTTGCGTAATTCCGTTACGTCATTGTCTCAATGATTTAGTGAATATTGTTGAACGTTATTTTTTTTCGCAAGTACTATTTGCAGTCGTTCATTTTTTGTGTGGAAACTAACCGTTACTCAAATAGTAAAAAAGAAAGCATTTCATTTCTTACGAACTCAGCTCTTGTTAGATAAGAATACATAGATTAAATGTTACCTGATTCATCCTCCTTCTCACATAATAATAATAGTAGTAATAATAGACCATGGATTCTTGCAAAATTTATACTGCGTGTAAAACTCAACGAGGTCTGACAGTTTTTATGCTTACATTTCTTTCTTCTAGTAGTGTACACTTTTTATTAAAATTGTTAATAGTACGTTGGTGCTTGTGATAGTCTTTTTCGCATTCCTATTTTACTTATAAATTATTTGTTTTCCGCTTTGTTTCTGTGGATAAAAATTTATTCAAGCATTTTCATTTTATTTTTCTTCTAATCCAGTATAATCTTGGAAGAGAGAAATGGCGTATTATGTGTAAAGAAGAAATAGAGAAGGCAAGAATTATCTTTTTAGAATTAGTGCATAATATTTTGAGCACGTTTATGCCACAAATTCTAGTGAAATTGACTAGTTTAAATGTAAAACGTAAGTTGTCACTACTTCTTGTTTGTTAAAATTTTTTTTGGTCGTAGCATTGATTGTTATATTGTATTATTGTAATAGTTATGTCGGTAGGTTCCTCCTCTTCAGTGTCTTTATCTTATGGTTGTTGCATTATCTGGCCTTAGATTCTTATTACTACCACTCCTAATACTACTGTTAGTAGTACGACTTTATTATTATTATTATTATTATTATTATTATTATTATTATTATTATTATTATTATTATTATTAGGTGGAATTCGTTCACCTGACAATTTTGAAAATCTGACTAATCAAGGAGTAGATAAATCCCTATCAATTGGATCTAGTCGATCGGAATTGGAGTCTTGCTATGAATTGATACATTTATATGATTCAAGTGATCAAAATGTGTTACCCGAAGTTGGAGATGATCGTCTCTTGATTGTACTGTATACAATGTATAACTATATTCTTGTAAGTTAATGACCATTATGATGTAAATCAACAATTGAGCGAATCGTCTTTCTTATTGATACAATAGTGTCAAACATTTGAATGAATGCCATTAATTTAATTACTGCTTAAATATGTTACAGTTTGGACTCAGAACAATGTTATCAGTGTTTGCACCTTAATACGAAACCTGAATATTGGATAAAGGTGTATATTTTCTGAATAATATGTAAAAACTTGTTTTGAAAAGTTATTAATTATTAGTTCTAAGTAATATATACACTGTTATGATTATTATATGTTAGTGTTTACATGTTAGTTGACTAGATGTATAATGTTTTTGTTTCTTTGCTAAGTAACTAACCATTAAATGAAAAATCCGCAAGCTTGGAGTTTTATGAGCTTTGATACATATGGCAGTAATTTAGAATTTCTAGATTTGATTTTTTTTTACAAAATACTTATATCATCATTTAGATCCAGTCGCATGGTAATGTTTGTTCATCTTATTAAATCAAAAGCTGATAAGATTATTCATCATAATGGCAGGAGAATCAATGATGGTACATAACCAAGCAGATTAATTTCACTACCATTTGTCATCATGTTAATTGCTTGTCAAAGGTGTCTCGCTAATATAATTTATTATTCAATGATAAATTTATTTGTAAGGATTTACATTTTCTCATTTATGTTAATGACGACATCCTGGATTTCACTGCTTATCATTCACCAACTTTAATGAAAATTTGTGAATAAATTGCAATGTTGAAATAATCTATTAGGATGGATATATGCCAATAAGGAGTCCTTAACAATCGGAAATGCAAACCTTCAGAAATAAAAATCATATGCGTTGCACAAACTAGTGGCTATCTGAACTCAGTAGTCAAGTAGACGGTGAGTCGAGCGTTTACATTGAAATGTACTGGGTTCAAATCTCTCAAATTTTAGTACACGTGCATCCAGGCAACGAGCCCTAAATAGGGCGAAACGTGTCTCCTGGATTCCACTTCTCAAATTTAAAAACACACTTGTATTCTATTAGGCTTATGTTTTCCAAATAATCCACTTAGTAACAATACAGTTAAGCTCTCGTTGAACACACATTTAAATATCGATTCCTGTAATGTGAGATAATTTTAGCTTTAAGTAAAAGTTAATTTTATCTTAACGTATGTCTATAATATTGTACCTCACCCTACATCAATCATTTGTGGCACTTTTTCCCATCACAATAATAACAATTTTAATAATAATAGAATTAGCCAGATACACTTTTCATACTGATTTTTTCAACTAATACATTAGCAATTATTTCGTTTTAACTGAATCATCTCTATGAATTTCTATTACCCTATTGTTGTTTTAATTGAACATTTACTTCCAGGCCTCTTTTCGATTCTCATCTAATCCATCGAACTCATCAGATTTCAATGAATCTGTATTTTTTTGGGTTATTAAATATTATCCAAAACCACAAGTTAATCATGCTTTAGCATTACTGATGAAAAATCATATTGTAAAACGTCCTAAATCATATGAAAAAAAAGTAAGAATTTATTTTGTTAACTTTAATGAGTAGTAATTTTGCAAAAACTCATTTGTGATTATTGTCTGTTTAATTTCAATGGTGATAGCTATGTTTTCGTCTCAAATCGTATTAATTTTATTTGCTTCTGCTTCATAGTTCATCGTGTCACATTTTTTGAGCTATCTAGAGAACACAGTAAATGACTTTAAATGAACCAAGGCAAGAGAGATAGAGTGTTGAACATATAATTCTCGGAATTTAGTTTTTTTTATTAACTTAAATACTGCTATCTCTTATCGTCTTTTTTTAAGTCCATAAGTTGCCTGTTGAGCGTATTTTCAACGACATTTAATCTAATGAAAGTCAAGACCTAAAGTTAAAGTTGGTGTTTATCTAAGGATAAATGTCTTGGATTGACTTAAATGTTACTGACTCTCGATCAAGAACTAATTGGAGGCAATTACGTAAGATATACTTCGATATAAGCTCTATTATATTATAAATTGATTTCCATCAAAAATTTTTATATCTTCAGCTTTCCATTCAGTTTGTGGTCTAAAATAAACACATCAGCATCTCAGTCGTTTTGATTTGATTTCTAGTTAGTTCTACATTACAACCATAAGTTTGTAACTGTTACGCCTAATAGTGATATCAAGCATATTAAGTTTTGAGTTGTCCGTTTTTATCACAGAAATTACTGATGCCAAAAATCTCTAATGATTTTTGTTAAATGTATATGTGAATTTATTTTTGTCGTTCCATTTCTATTGTTACTAATACCCCATCAAAAAGTCAGTCCCACTATTTATCAGTAATAGATAGATAAAAGCTTTTCAGTTATGTGTTGGCATTAACATAAAAGTGATCTGAATCTAATAACTTGATAGACCTTATTTTTATATCATTTATTATTGTTACTATTATTCAGTCATAATCATCTGTCCTCCTTAAGACCCACTGTGATAATTCTCTGTTGCTTGATTAGTAAACAGAATTATTCACCTTCCAATATTTGATAAGAGTAAAACCTTTTTCAATATTATCTACTACCTTGCACGTTTCCTGTCTGTCTGATTGATTCAAATCAATATAGATATGCAGTTATTTTCCTTTTTTTTTCTAGACCGTTATTTTTCCTTATGTAAATTACTACCATCATTTTCCTTTCCATTTATGATTGTCTTTTCTGCTAAACGATTTCCATTAAGTCTGTAGGCAAATATGCAGATATGTACATTAATGTAATTTATGTATTTGTTTCACTTTTGTAAATTTTTCTCACTTATTAACTGTACATGTATTGATTTTGTTATTTCACACAACATATAATGTGATCAGTTAATGTTGGTTATGTTTCTCTCCTCTCACTTATTTAGATATATATTTTTTCTTTTTCTGATTGTATTTATCTTTTTTAGTCTGATCCAGGTTTTCGTATTGTCAATTCTGTTTGTATTGCTCTTAGTCATAGGTAAGCAAATTTCTGTTATTCTTCTGCTTAAGAAATTATATCTAATGTATTTTGAATTCTTTTGGAGTTATGCATACTATTTTGTCCGTGATTCAGTTATATGATCTTATCTTAATAATTTGATAGGGTAATCGTTCTTTTAAAATCAACTGATGTATTTATTTTCATGAAACTTTAAAAAGATACGTTATATCTTCTGGATTTTGCTTGTAGCTGAAATATTTATACAGCGCAATTATGCGTTGTTTAAAAGTTCGATCTTATCCTTATGATCGGAAATTCAAGACTCTGTATATACTTGAATATACATTAAATGAAAATTGTAAAGTTCAGAATTCATGGCTCTAAGCTTATTGCTTCGATATCATGTATTGTTCCCATAGTTTACACAACTTATTGAAGTAAGAACGTTCACTGCGTCTTTACTTAAAAATTTGTCTAATTTTTCAATCTATTGATTGTGTTTTTATTGTTTTTCTCCTTTTCTAAGTTTTGTTTGATTTACTTGTGATTAAGTATTCGAAGCACCTAATAAAAAAAGTCAAGATTTGATCGCATGTTGAATGATAATCTTGATTTATTTAACAAATAAATTATGTAATTCAACTCGCCAATAATTCACTGCTTTCTTTACTTTCACTTCATAGTTCCTGTCAATTATTACTTATTGTTACTTTGTATTCCGATACTAAATAGATTTTCACGTTGGACACATGGTGAATTTTTTACCCAAGTTAAATATATTCCAGAATCTTATTCAATTTGGACTAGTTCTGTTAACCATTTGAATTTATACAAGAGTGGTAATGACCGTAATGCAGTTCACAACAAAACAAGGAGAAAAACTCGTTCAAGTGTACAGACAGAAGAAGAAGAGGGAGAGGAAAGCATCACTAACAGTAAACCACCAGAACTAGAAAAAATAATTCATAGACATTTATTTTCTGAAATTTCAACCGGTGGTTGTGTAGCTTTCTTTTTGGAACAATTCTTATTTTATCCAGTAAGTGTAAATACTTGTTTTCCATTTTAAACAGAATGTTAATGTTATGTATTTATTGTTATTGTGTTTTATCATCAATATCACTTATAGATTTACAATTTTTTGTTTACTTAATATGTGTTACATGTAAAAGTCAGACATATGTATGCTCGAAGTTCAATCATTGAGTACACTGTATATGAGTTAAGAATGTATAGAAAGAATCTAGTTATTAAATATTGCATGCACATTCTTTCACTATCAAAATATTGTAAAATACATTCGCAAAACATTGGTATATCTGGATCTATTAATTCGTTACCATTCTGTAGATTGGAGTCATAGAAATCATATATTTCGTAGGCTTTTGATGGAATCAGACATGAGTCAAAACAAAAACCAGTGGCGGTGTTGCTGTGAGTCATAACATAATTTCTTCATGTTATTTAGAAAATTTGTATTGTGACTAGCTTTTCGACGTATTTTGCGGTTTGTCAACAAGACATATCTACATTTCAGTATTGATTTTCACATTGAAGCTCGAGCTCCATATCTTTATCTTCAAAAGCGTAACGCGTTATCCATATCTTTCATAAAACGTGTGACATGTTACCTATACCTAGGCAATCTGCACATGATTCACATATGCAAACGAAATCTGACCAAAGTCCAATCTTTGACATTAACAAGGGAATAACTTAGTTCTTGATTACTAATGATAATGAATTTATATTTTTCAGTTGTGTTGTTTTTATTTTCATAAGTTCAAGCCAATTAATTATGTGATTTACCGAAACACTTTTCTCTGTAATACATTATTATGTTATTGTTTTTTTACTTTAATTAAAGAGAATTTAATTTATTTTTCTACGCTCCTTAACTCATGGTATTTTAAATTAATAACAATTCCATTTACTATGCTGTCTGTATAAATGTAATTAGATAAAATTGGAAAATATACGAATTATAATCTGTTTTCACTTGTGAACTTTATTAAATATAAATTTCTAGAATGTAATCCAAATTAGGTTATATACTTGTATGCTCAAAGAAATTGAAGAATGAAAATGGGAATTTGTTCACTGGTAGTAAATACAGTATTTAAACATTTTCTCTAGTACCAGTAGGAACTACTGATCCCTTCTAAGTAGAACTATAAAGATATCTGATTTGTAATGTTAAAATGGGTACAATCCACAATTAACTTAATAACTGATGTAAATCAGTTATCAGGGTTATCAAACTACACATAATCTAGGGAAGCATAATAATTAAATATCTTGTCTAAGTTTGGTCTGAAATTTTGTAAAAAGTGTTTTTTCTCAACCATTTTATCACAATTTTCTGTAGGTTTTTTTGATCAAATTATTGAATGTTAGTAATAGTTGTTATCCAATTGCATAGCCGGAACTAGTTGTTTAATGGTCTTTGAACATGTGACCTGTTGGTTGGTAGTTGTATTCTTAGGCCACATGATCACTAACATTCTCTATGAAAAGAAATAGGTTATATATGAAAATAAAAATGTGATATCATGTCAAAGAAAATAAGATTGTTTTGATTTACATAAATAGTTACATTATGCATGATTAGGGGTATCTGTTTATCAACCCAATAGCTTTCTCAGTGGTTATTCTCTCCTAAGAATGGATTCATGATAAAAATTTCGTTATGAGTTATTTTATGAGAATTGGTCATGTTGCATTGATTCTTTGTGTTATAAGCAATAAAATATAAACTGTTTGGCTTTTCTAGGAGCTTGTATCATTAGTTAGGTATAAATTGAATCATTTTATTGTAACGCTAAGTATTATTAACGTGAATAACTTATATTTGATTTTATTCTTCTATTTCGTGATGTGATAATCACCACATTTTTTTGTCATAACTATCTGTTCTCAATATTATCACCACTTATTTATTTGGGATACTACAAAGGTAGTCTATTTCTGGTGATGTGTTCTCTAAGCTAAATGGTTTAGTCATGAAGCTTTCATTCTCCTTTCAAACAACATATTTCAAAGAGAAATAAGGTATTAGTTTATCACATTATGAATATTCAGAGCCCAACTCCATCTTCACTTAGCTAACATTAACCTTTATAATTTGATTTTGAATGAATATGTTATTTTTCATTTTTATCCGTTTCATCTAGTTTGTTGATGTTCAAGTATCCATCAAAGTGGAAGATATAATTTTAGTTGGTAGTGGTCAAACATATTCAGGTGAGTAATATATATATATATATATATATATATATATATATATATATATATATATATATATAATTTACCTAATTTTTATGGAGTGTTTGTTCTATGATATTTGACTATAAGTTGGGGTCTTTGCACATAATTAGAAATTTTTTTATTGAACTTTAAGTTGATCTTGGAGTTCCGTAAATTTTTAACATTTCTTTGCATTTTTACCTACTCCAGTTTATATTTTAAGCAAACTACATTTGATACAAATATGTATTTAATGCTTACTAAACTGTATTTTAAAAGCGATCGTATGCTGCTTGTAAAAGGGACCATGTCCTTTGAGAGTTTCTCAAAAACAATCTAGAGTCCTTCCATCGTTTTCTACCGTATTTGAGTCATGTTCAAGATTATTTCTTTAAAACAAAATGCAATTATTAGTTGTATCTCATGTTTTCTCGTTAGCTTATTGGATATTTAACGTGTAATATACACCACATTGTTGTGTTATAGTAGACTAGTTGTTCACAAATTCAACTTTCAATCTTTAAATAATAGATGAAAAACATCTTTTTCGCCTTTAACGTTTTGGGTTATTCAATAGCTGTGTCATTAATTTTTTTTTCTAAAAGTGTACGTAAATTTCAAGTAATAGTAAATAAGCCTACACTTAGTGATTAAATTTCTTTAACAAAATAAATAAATAAAAGAGAGCAGACGAGATCGCTTTTTATCTTTTTGAAGTGCACCATCCTAGTGACAAGTTATACGATTATCTTTAAGTAATTCAAAGGTCTCATTCATTTATTAGTCAGTATATTGTAATTTGTTTTTTAGTTCTGATAATATTTTACTGACCATATTTTACAGATGATACTGTTGACTTACTACCATTACAAACATCAATAACACAAAACTCCTCAGTTCAAATCAAATCAACTGAATTACGCAAAGATTTATTATATCGCATGGGTGTATCTAATGAAATTCTAAACGATCCATTGTTTGTTGGTGATTATAATTCTATGCGACATTCACGTTGGTTCGATCACCATTTATCATTTAACGGTGGTTATATTCAAGCAGTTTTAACAAATAATAATAATATGGAAAATGACAATTGGAATTTGCCGAAATTGTCAAAATCTCTTGCAAACTCATTAAAGCCATTAGTTAAAAAGACTAGTAAATCACTAGTTTTTCAAATGCCTGATTTTGGTGTGAATTCCTTAAACGGTGGTAATCTAATTGGTGACGAAAATGAAATCAATGTGGATATGGATGTCAAATTAGAAGATAGTATATCATATCGCCTTGAAGAATATATTCAAACAGGTCGATTTAGTGGTCGCTCTGTTATGGAAATTAAAGTCAGTTTATAATAATAATAGTAGTTATAATAATTCTATTGATGATATATATGTTCTGACACCGTTTGCTGACGATATAGTTCAGTATAAACCGTAAAATATTGTTTAATAGGTAATCTGAAAACTATACACCTTAATTACAAAGTAACTTAGTTGTTAGCTCATCGACAAAAATATTCAAACTTTATTCCAAACTTCCTACAATTTGATGCCTAAATAAAGATCAAATAAGTTTTGCGAAATTTTTGCATATATCTTAACTTAGTGTCAGGATTACTATATTGCTTTTAACAGCATATATCGATCACTGTTGATGGTTGTCTTCTAAGATGTGATTGGGGAAGAGATTTTTATCATTGAGCATTATGTTGTTTTATAAAATTTTATTACCTTATTGAAATCTAATGCTTTACTATTGGGCTGAAACACACGTCCTAGATAACACTACTAGCTACATTTCATTCATTCTTCACTATTGTTGTCGAAAATAGTTTTACTTCCATGGCACTTTGTAATCTTAATAACCCCAACTTACCTACTGACTGACTCACCTTTGTTTTTGGCGGTTATAAAAAACTATATTCTAGTGTATTATGAAGCCTAATCCATCCATAAACTTCCATTTTAACATGTTTATGAGTATTTCGGTAACATGTATCTTATTTATTTATCATTTGAACATATGAATATTGGTGCAAGGGAGCACCAAATATATATACGCCACAACATGTATCTTAGTACTAAAATACATGTATCTTAGTATTTATGAGTTTATTTAGCCTCTTTTTTGTTACCCAATTAAGTTATCAGTACTCAAGACAATCAACTAAGCAATAGAACACTAGCTCAGTACTTTAGAAACTTTGAACCATTATTATCATGTTGACTAGATGTGTTTATCAATATGGCATTTTCTTAGTGCTCGCGTTGTCGGAAAATGCTGTAGACATACCATTGAATATGATGTATTGTGAAAATTTTATTTTAATACGTTAAAGTATTCGTGAAATGTATTTCTAACTTGTAATATTTTTTAAAATAACTTTTTAGCAAAATATTGGTGATCGAAGCAATGTTTCAAGTGCATTACAAAATCTATTGGATTCTCGTGTGGTTAGTTAGTGTATTTATTTTCCTTAGTTTCTTCCATAAAAGTTGTATTACATCAAAATAACATTTATAGATATATTGTATGACGACATAAAGCTTCTAATACTTTCTTCTTCTTCTTCTTCAGAACGAGTTCTTAATGTTTCTTTCCATTTATATGTGGATTTTTTCTATAATTAGGTATTCAATGTTGGCAGTATTTATTCTCGATTTGTTCATCATAAATTTATACGTCTTTGGCTTGTTCATTTAAAACCGAATATGAATCTTCGTTCTAATGTTGTTATCCGAAATTCTGCACAATTAACTAAGGATAATAAACTGGAATCTACTCATCCACCAAAGCGACCTAAGTAAGCATCGACATTTAGACTAATACTACTTTTTTCACATTTGTGCCCAGTTATCTGATCTAATTTTCATAGAAATTTCTGTAAATGTACTATGAACGGCCACGACTTGTATCCAATAGTTGTGTACTGCTCTAGAAATCCTGGAGAGTTTTGTTCACTTCACCCTGCTAAGGCTGTGTTTCGCTTTTATGTTCATTCATCATTTGCGAAAGCTAATTATCGTTTGTTGTTGGTAATAAAGCTATTTTATCTAAAGCTTTTATTTCATTATACATCTATATGACTTGTAGATTAGATTCAACAGTGCCCGATAACAGTGAGAACCAAACTGATCCCAATACCTCAGTTAAGGACCCTTCCAATATGGACACTGTCCCTACAGGTTATTTCTTCCCACAACCTTGGTTCTCTGAAATTGGATCACCTAAACCAAGATTGTTCTGTGATGTCTTACGAAGTTTATGTGCTCAACTTTCTAACTGTGGTGGAACCACACTGGCATTATTCGCTCAACAGCATCAAACTTTATTTGGTCAGCAGGCAATTCGTCAATTATTATACGTAAGTTTTCATATCTCTGTCGAATAGCTAATTACATATAGTGATTTTTAAAAATATTAGTAGTCTGTAACAACTGCTCATATCTGAATTTTTTCTCACCTCTTGTTTTAATGTTTGAGTAGTAATATAACCATTATTAAAGGAATCAAAATGTGTTGAAATGTATACGTAGTAATCAAGTAAGGGTCTGCTTTATTTTTTATTTCCAGTTGGTACTATTTCGTTAAATTTTATGATCATTGAATTTGATTATTAAAGTGTACCTAAATATGTACTACTTCTAGCACATTTAAGATTAATTATTGTCATCGAAGTGATAAATTAAGTATACATGTAGTTCCTTACATACAGCTTTCTCATACTCCAGTGTTACAGTTTTTTGTTCAATTCGTTCATAATGTAAATGTTCAATTTTTAACTTCTCGTTAATAGTTTTCTGTCATATGAATAGCTCTAAACCATTATTTCATGTCAGCCTAATGAAGGAATTAGACTGACATGTTTTACTCTAAAAAGCGGTTGAGCAAAATCGCATTGTAAATAAATTTTACACATTTCATTCATTCATTCGAATCGACTTCTCGGAATTCGTTTTTCACCAATTCAATGTTTGGATTATATTTGGGTCAGTGGTATCTATTCGGAATTTTAAAATCAAGATATTTTTGTAGCAGACAATGTTAGACAACATAAAACCTAATAGAAATATGTATTGATCCAGCTTACTACACCGCATATCATCACAGCGGTTAAAGAAGTTAATAAAATCAGATTCAAAGGTATAATAATAATAATGTTAATAATTATAGTGGGGCATTTAAAGAAAAATCAAGTTCAACTGTGTTATTGTTCTGTCGATGTTGAATCATGTCACTGAAAATCTTGAACCACTGACTACGACTACTATGTGACCCTCAACCAAGAATTCTATATTCTTCCTCGTGCATGAATCAACAATCCACGGACTAATGTCTTGTTTTGACCTAGCTGCCGGTAGATTCTTTTCCAATACACTTCTTTGCCACCTAGCCTAGGGTATTAAGGTAGATGTTGGTTGAGAACTCTATTCATTCATTTTTCGGTTACAAATCTCTCTTGTATACATATAATGATTTGTTTAATGTTATTAAAATAATTCAGCGCTATTAATTACAGTCTATCTAACAAATAGTCGCTTTGATTAAGAAACGTTTTGTATAGTGTCAAAATATCTTTCATAATTATGTTTACCAAAAAAGAAGCGTTTTTCAAACGTCCCCTGTTACAAGTTATTATGTTATGTTAGCCCTTAAATGCATAAAATCACATGTGATGTGTGTCGACTTACTCTTGTGCTCATAGACTAGCTTTACTGTAACATTTTCAGTCATGTTTCTGTTGTTTATGTTTAGAATCCAACAAATTAAGTGTTTTAGTGATCGAGGAGTCAGTTATGATGTCACCTTTATTATTGTCTGATGCCCAGATATAAATGAAATACTTAGTTTAGCAAATTGCTGAAGTTTTCTCGAAACTCACCCGAACTGACACTTTTGTTCGAGATATAATCGCTATTGTAATTAAATACAATAGCGATTATATACTGCGCGGCAGTTCGTTCTGTTTTACTTTACGGCTGCGAAATGTGCCCATCAAGAGTAGAAGATATTCGTAAGAAACTAGTATTTGACCACAGATGTCTTAGAAATATTGCTCGCATCTGCTGGGATCACCAGGTAATAGTGAGGTTAGATGTGGGGTATTAGGGAATGATAGTAATGCAGTAGATGAGGTTGTGAATCTTCATCGACTGAGATGGTTGGGCCACGTGTTGTGTATGCCTGAACACCGATTACCACGACGCGCAATGCTCACCGGTGTTCGGTATGGTTGGAAGAAAGTTAGGGGTGGCCAAACTAAGACGTGGCATCAGTGCTTGAAGTCACTAACTTGTAGTCTGAGCCACGTTTGTGGATGCAGACTACGTGGTTGGGGTCCGCGTGACTATCGTAACCAATAGTTGGAGACTCTTGGTGACATGGTTGAGAATCGATCACAATGGCGTAGGTGTATGCACTCCCCGTCTTCCCTTAAACTATGAGATTAAAATCGCTTCATATCTGTCTTTCTACGAACTAATTCTTTCTTCCTGTACTATATCATTATATGCAATCTTTCTTTTATATATTTCCACCACTGAATTAACCACTTCTATGAATTTGGTGTTCATCTTGTTATGCTAATGTGGTATGGCAACTTTGACCGATGTACACATGTGCCTGGTCCTACGTTGTAGATGACCGACTGTTTTTATTTAATTAAGTGCTGTGGTTATTTTTTTTTGTATGCCTTAGAATATTTTTCTAAATAGAAAGTCTTCTAATATTGTATTGTATTACTTTATATGCGTTGTACTGTTTACTTCTAACGCATTTATTCTACTTATATCTGTCCATTACCCCGATCGGTTCTCCAAAAATTCTTCTATAAGGTCAACTATTTAATTCAATTAGGATTAACAGAGAGCCCGGGACAAATCTGCATTTGTCCGGGTTGCTGTAACATATTTACACAATTAGTAAAGGAGCCAAAGAAATATATTTTGAAAAAAGGAATAGAAAAGTATGTGTGAAAGAAAACTGGGACTGCAAGGGTAGAGCAAGGTAAAATATGAATTTATCTCCACAACTGTAGCCAATTCTTAACCATATCTCCTACTCCTTCCAACTACTGATTAGGAATATCGCGGTGATTCTAAATAAGATGGTACGCAATTACCAACAGTCATTTACTTCATACATTTACGCTCTGTTTTGATTTAAATCCTCACAAATTTTCAACTTCGACTGTAGTCAACATTTGTTGCTGAAGTGTACGGCGGTTCAAAATACAGACCTCCCGACGAACTTATTCGATGAAGACTCCACCTGTTTTAAGATATTTCGGATCCCTTTGCTCAACCTTAATATTCCTCATTACATCGTTTTATGATACCCAAACGATGCTCCAAAGACATCTTACTTTCTTTGTGAACGCGTCAGTATAACGAAGAAATTCTTCTAATAATATACCATACTGAAATACTGCTTCAAGACTCAGTTGTTTTTTTCTTAGCAAGAAATGTCTTTCTGGGAGAAATTTTATTTCAGTTTATTTATCGATTAGTTTTGGGATTAATGTATTTACTTATCTATCTTATTCATCAGCATCTACGAGATATGGGAGCCATTCGTATGGTTCGTGTATTCACGAAATCAAAACCATGTTTGTTTTCTGATAGAGTAACATACACTATTTCAGGTTAGTTTGTCTAAAATGTTTTTTTCTGAGTTTTGAACAAAATTTTCAAGTGTATTAAAACTATGCTGATAAGCTTTTCATCCGAATTTTTTTTATAAATTTGGAAATAGTCTGTGAAAAATTCAGCTCCTTTTACACATCATTCTCTTTAAAAAGCTCAACTTATATTTATTTACAAAATGTAAACAAGTCATATGTTACTTTCTGAGTTATGCGCACATAAAAGAAATGACCTGAAATTAGTTATGTATGAAGTCGTTGGTTTATTGCCAAGTCTCTGCACCTAGTTATATACGATCTTTTTCTCGACTTGTCTATTTGTCTAGCGTTTTAACTTATAACTATTATACCATTACTGTATTACGTTGTTCCATACATTCATTCAATTTGTACAACTATAAAATAAGTAACCGCTACACAGTATTGAAAATGTCGATATCCATTTTCTAAAATAAATCAGGCGATCTGTAATTTCATTTCAAAACACCAGTTTTGTCAATGGCTGATTAATAGTTTAAACTGTAATTTGATAAAACGGTTTATTTTTGTACCTAAACATATTGAATTAGTACAGTAAATAAAGAACTGCAAAGTATTGGCGATTATTAGCATCAGCTTTCAAAGCATATAGTACATACGATCGTATATTATATTATTATAGTACGAAAGTGTTTCGTTGTTTTAAATATCGTCCCTAAACTAGTAAATGACTAGGGGCGACTGTGCACAACATCTGTAAAAGTATGAATAGCATTATACCCTAAAAAAGTATCATAAAGTCAGTGTAACTCATACTTGTTTTGATCATTATAAATAGTATAAAGAAATAGATTACGAATAATGCTTAACCAAACCACTTTCTGTTAAAAATTAAACGCTATAATCATTGAAACAAATTCATCTATATTTTCGACGAAATTGTTTAGTTTTTTTTTCTTATGTAAATTCTATTTTGTTTAAGACATTGTACCCATTACTCCATCATAAACGAAATGTCTAGTTAATTTCTTAAGCCAAAAACAAAACAAAATAAATCTGTTAAATTATTTTAAATAAACAATGTTGTTTTTACAATGTTAATTGTTAATTGTCAGATATATCCTTTAATAATATCACATTTAAAACTTGTTTCTTTCCTAGAAGAAAGAAAATGCATCTTTATCAATAATTTTACAAGTGTTTGTTTTTTTCTCTTCTTCTTCTTCTTAAGTACTAAAACTAACGGTAGTTATAAAATAGTAAAAGTCATCCTGTTGTTAAGGTTTTATTTATTTGTTTTTGTTATTCACGTCAAAAAAAATAATAAGTAAATAAATAAAAAAAGTGATTTACCAAATGTTATAGAATCTTACCAAAAACTATATGTTACATTATGGTTGAATTTCATTTTTTTCTCCCTCAATGACTCCTCGTTAGAAATAAAAAAAAATTTAAAAAATGGGAGGGAGTATGGAATTTAATATTTTCTTCATTTAATTGTTCATTTGTTATTGTTTAACTTCTTAAATTAAAATGAAATGAATTTTGATAATGATTAGAAAATTTATATAGAAAGTTATTTTTTTAAAGAAATTTTAATGATTGACTACTTTAATCATTTTTATTTGTTTAATAAAATAAATCATTCAAACGATAGATTAATATCTATCACATGCTATATTTAATTGCTTGTCTTAGTTTATATGTTTGTTCAAAAGTAGTTATTATTGAAAGATTGAATATTTAAACATTTTATTCAACGAATTCAAAGGTACCTACGTCTGTACAGATAAATAGTTTTAATAGTTTGATTGCACGCTACTTACTCAAAACAACACGAGATGGATGGATGTAATGAATTCATTTTACATATTGTATAGGGATGGTAGATTCGAAAACTGAATCAGTTTTGTAATTGTTAAAATGAATGAATAAAATATTGATCATTAGATGAAATTCAATGATGATAGATGCTCAACAAATTGGTTCATTGACTGAAACATTTCAAATTAAGTGTACTAGCTAGAAGAATAAATTTTACAACTAAGAAAATAACATTGTTATAAACAAAATATTAACATAAAAATAATACATTTAAATGTTACTCACTTGTCAATAAATTAAGACCTGACTGTTACAATTAATCCGTGCTCATCATATCATATAATTAAATATTACAACTTGGCCTTCGAAACACTTTTTTTTTCGATGGATAGATAATTTCTTTTAAACTTTCATGTTAATTAATATTTCCAGCTGAGCAAGTTGTTTATTACTAAAAGGAAAACAACAAAGTACAAAATATTTTCACTCTTGCTTCTTGCTTATTTAATTAACAAAAAAATTTATCTGGTTATTGGCTTATGAGACTTTGTCTTGAAAAGACTAATTGAAGTAATAGTAGGTTATGTTATACTCATACATATTTTTCTCGTATTTCTAGAGTATACATTAATAAAAATAATAATATTTACCTATCTTATGAGTCTCATTAGTCCTGATGGTCTAGTGTGTGACGGAATCTCGGGACGGATTCTGAACGCTCGACTGGCTTTTGCCAACTTGTGTTACATGGCGTAGATGAGATATCCGTCTGCTAACTAAAAATCGAGTTTACTGTCAAGCAGTTTTCTCTGTTCTACTTTATGGGTGTGATACATGGCCATGAATAGTAGAGGATATTCGTAAGTTACTGGTATTCGATCATAAATATCTTTGAGTCATTTCTCGTGTATTTTGGGACCACGGACCCAGCAATGCCAAAGTTAGGAATAGCGTACAAGAAAAGTTTGGGAAATCAACTTGTGAGGTAGTCAACCTTTATTAACCGAGATTGCTGTTACGTATACCCGGCAACCGCTCATCTCTAAGAGTGATGTTTTTTGGTGTAGAAGCAGGTTGGAAGAAAGCTGGGGGCGGTCAAGCCAAAATATAGCCTCAGTCCGCGAGGTCATTGACAATTGGACTGAGTCATGTTGACAGTTGTAGACTACCTGGTTGAGGACTGTGTGATTGTCGTAACTAATGGTCAGTCAGTCAGCTACAACGTAGGACCAGGCACATATGTACATCCGTCCAGGTTGCCATACCGCATCAGCACAACAAGATGAACACCGGATTCATAGCAGTGGTTAGGTCAAAGGTGGTAATATATAAGAGAAAGATTGCATATAGAGATATAGTACAAGAAGAAAGAATTATTTCGTAGAAAGAAAGATATGAACTGATTTTAATCTCTTAGTTCAAGGGAAGACAGGGAGACTTTGAATGGCATGACTCGAAATCGTCTGTAATGGCGCAGGTGTTACCGTTCTTTATCTTCCCCATAATTTTGAACTTTCAGGATCTGGTTTGATAGTTTCGTCTTTCTGTGCTGGTGGGGTGTGGCAGCTAAAACCGATTTACATACGCACTAGGTTCTACGTTGTGATTAAATGACTGGATAATAATGGTGATGTTTTTTTTTTCAATTTTAGATGACATACTTTTGGCATCACCTGAAGAATTAACACTAATACCTGAACCAAATTACGTAACAATTATTGGAACATTCACGGATATGTATTTACAACAGAATAATATTACCAGTGTTAGAAGCAGTAACAGTGACCACAACACTGGTTGAAACAGCCAGTTGACATAAATGAAAAGTTATCCCACCTGAACTTGTAAATAAACACATAAATATCAATATCTGTGCATGATTCACAGAAATAAAATTGCATTTACTGATAATACTGCTGATAATGGTAGTATGTAGAATCTATCAGTTGGCCTTTTCTTGAAGCATAAATTAAATATCTGTATACATCGGTGATAACAATACTTCATATCGCTTTTATACACAGGAATGTGATGATTATTAACTTTGTTTAAGTACAGTAGCCCCAAAAAAGGATTGTATGTATATATATGTACAAATATCTTTTGTGTCACTAAATATTTATTTTAATTAGCATCTAATTTATTATTTCTTGTCGCATGTATATATCTTCATACTTGGTTTTTTTGCTATGATAACATTACTTAAGTAAAATGAAACTGTTCCTTTTATTTCCTTTTCATTATTATTATTTTTGTTCACTTGTGTAGTTGTTTTCTCTCTGAGTGTAAATTCAGTTTTGTTCCTTCAATTCTTTTTGTGTTAGCTTTTTTTAATAGTTTTTATGATTTGCACAACGATCGTCGGGAAGTGGGTTTTCAGTCCTTTTCATTATGTAAATTATTATATATAAATATATATATATATATATGTATACCTTATAACATATGAACTGAATTCAATTGGTTATACAGTGGATAGATAATTTGTCAATAATAATACTTTGAGGCTAAATAGTATGTTGCTGTTAGTGTGTCCTAATCCACGTGACTCAACTTACACTTTATGCATAGTTATGAGTTAATGCTCAGTGTTAATAATCATCAGTGTTTTGATGGGTAGTATAATTTATCATTGACAGTCGTCCGTGTATAGGTTTTGAGTATATAACAAGTTCAGCAATCTTGAACGAAGATTACATCTTATATTCCTATTTTATTTATTGATTTATTTTTTATTTTAACACATAGATATTGGTACAAGGAGGCACCAAATACATATGCGCCACACAAATCTCATTCGATATGTGTGAGGGCTGTGATACTGCCCGGGTGCCCAAACCGAAGCAGGTGGTTTTCTTAGGGGGCCACTACCCGAGCCTTCGACCTGAAGGTCTGATCCACAAGGCAGTGGAGCATCGTAAGGAGATGCAGTCCCATGGAAGCCGGTGACCGACAATTGGTTCATACGCCATTTGTTCCTTCAGGATACTGGAGCCCATGTGCACCATTGATTTGGTTTGGAATCCGGTTAAAGCGCCGGACATTCGCTTTTCGTCCTCTCATTTTCGTAAACAACACCCCCGCTCTGAGAAGACAGTGAGTAGGACTTCCCTGGTATAGGCTATATACGCGTGGCCATGTGAGAGCATTTTGAGATTGAGAGCGGACTCTCCCCACTCTCAGCCGTACCAGGGCATTTGGGGGCTTATATTCCTATCATGAAATCCTTGTAGATTTATTGGTGAAAGTTTTCCAATATGTCGTATGTTATCTCTCTGTGATAACGTCATAACTTCCATATTATCAATTACTGGAACACAAAAAGACTTACATTTTCTTGTCACTTCATTTTTATTATATTAAGGGCATTTGAGCAACTGATATTTGTTCTCTCCATTTATCACCTTTTCGTCGGGAAAGTGTAAATAAAACTCAGTTGAGCGTAATGCTTCCTATGTAATTTAATTGGGTTCTTTGGAATCACAACTAGAGTTCTTACAAGTTAGTTATTTTGACCCTCGTTAAATCTGTATTATACTAAATTAAGTATTGGCAGTGAGTACTGACCCCTATCACTTAACGGAAGTGCATTGATTGATCATTGAATGATAACGCATGTCGTGTTTTTCTAGTCCTTAATGCTGATCGAATTATAATAACCAAGTTACAAAAAGACAGGGTTTCCTGCCAAATACTTTCAACCATCCAGCAGCTAACTCGAATATCGAATAATTGATTCAAAGGATATATCTGATTATATAACTCTTGAATAAGAAGAGTGAAGCAGTATCTTCATCTTCAAGTATCGTTCCTTCGAAAATTAACATTATCTTACAGTTTATGACAAATTCCATGTTGAGAAACTGAAATATTTTCCCGCGTGAATAAACCTTTGGGCGAATATTCCTTGTTTATTGTGGTCTATTTTAGATGAACTATGTGTAGCTTTGTTTCTGTGAATGAATCCAGCTTTTTCTAGAATTTACTAACCGTGTCTATCAATACTAAGATAGTACACAACAGGAGTTATACAGTGAATATATGTATTTCTTTGTTACGGAATCACTATAATCTATGATACTGTCTAAATTATTGACAAATTTTATTTCCAACTGAATAAATATCCAAAGTGAGAAACTAAATCGACATACATACTGATTTTAAGTCTAACACAAAAATGTCGTTTATTTGTTCAAAGGTTCCATTAAATAAAATATGAAGGTTGTTTTTTATAAGTACCTCGTTTATTTAGGGTTGAATACATAAAATTAACTGAAACATTTGTTATAAAAGGCGTCTATCTAATTTAATCAATGCCTAAATAATTGATGTAACTGAATAACACGAACTTATTTAATTTCGAGGAGGTAAATAATTCTGTTAAGATTTTGAAATAGTTTGTTTTAAAGATGTATGAATACTACCTCACATTAGATTTACTAAGAGAATAATTATTTATTGCGAGGTATGATAATACAACTTTAATACAATATGCTCGAAACAAATTTGAGTAAATGAAGCAATTGTCATTGTTGTTTTCAATCAGAATATTAGTTTGTAGAAGGATGAGCTGATATCCACTTTAAGTAAGAAGACGAAACTGGCGCACTGCAGTCTGAGTGATACTTGTATTTCTAATTCCTGATATGTAGATCAACTTACCACGATCGAAATATTTTTAATAATCCAATCAATATCATTTTACTGGAATTTCAAGTCTGGACAACGGAAACAAAGTTTTGTTGACATCATCACTCGCTAAATCATTTTCGCAATGTTTCATAGATATTTTTAAAAATATGTAATTAATTTGTGACGTTAAAAACATGTTAGTATCCAAGCAACTGAAAAAAATGTTTACGATCAAACTGATTTATACTTCAACATTAACTTCTCGTCTTGTACTTACCTCTTTGGATTCGACAAACCATTTAAAACAAACCAGGATATAATTTAAACATTCGAAGATTTATTTTTAGTAGGTAACTCACTCATTTTGTAAAAAAAGAGTTGTGTAGATAGATGATCAGTCATTCAACGCCAACCTAGCTCACTCCGGGGAAGATGGGGTAATTTAGAAGTAATAACTTAAAGTAACGCAGTTTCGGAATGCTGAAATGATATAATATAGTTTGTCACTCATCAATTTCCATAAGTGCACAGTGACTTAAATAAATAATTGTAGTGTTTGAATGAACTGATGACTTCTTTGAACTTGTTGAATGCTTGATTTCGAATTCTAAATAGAGCGCATTCGTTTGTGGTTATCTAGTACTTCTTGATCCGTTTACGTTATTGCTGGGATTCTTAGTTCATACTATAATTCGAAACATTATAATAATGCAGTAGTTATTTAACAGACAACAAACCGTTAATTTTAAGAAACTAAACTACAAGCAACTCTATGGTATGTCAACATGAATCTTGTACATCGTTTCATTTTCCTTCTGTCATACAAAACCTTACTACTATCACCTACTTCTGCTCTTGAACGAACATACTGTTCCATTCAGATCAGTATTTATTTATTCACTTAAAGTAATAAAGGATTATCTATTGATAAATCAACGGTTTGAAATACTTTATCATTTCTATGTCCTTTCGATTGAGCGTATATGAAATATATTGAATTGAAAGATTGTTATCAATGTCATCCGATTATGGAGAAACCGACATTTTCTATTCTGGTACAAATACTACCTGGGTGATTAGTTCTCCATTAATTCCCCTTAAATAAGTGAATTGCAGATTCGATTGTTGTATAAACAGACTAGATTGAAAATTATTAATTTAATAATGAGAAGTTCTAATTTTTGGTTAAAGCGTTAATCCGAATGAAACGTAGCTAACTTATTCGCAAGTTGGTATTTACTGTCCTAAGTATAGGTTTAAAAATTAGAGGAACATGAATCCACGGCAAATCAAATTTGTAACTCGAAAGTTTACATAAATACTGAAGAAGTGATGCCAGTTACTCATAATAACATCGAATCAGTACAATGCCTTATAGTCAATATAGTTGTTTATATAGTTACGGAATATGCCATTTACGTATGCTCGAAATATCAATTATATTTTCCAAATTTAAGGTCGATCATTTACAATAATCCTAAAAGGTTAATTTGTGATAACCAACAGCTCCGTACGTTGACTTTCAAAGTTACTGATGTCTGACAACTAAAGATGTGGTAATCCCGAAATTGATCTGTTCGTTACTGATTAGATATTTAAGAAAACGAACGAAATTTCATAATCTAAAAACCATGAAATGCTAATGAGCCTTACTGATGAAAAGTTAGGTTGAACTTTTAATTTTTGATGAAATATTAATTGTTATATATAGGCAGAGTAAAACTACTATCTTGTGCATTTTATCTTTGAAAGACTGACAGATACGCAATCGAATCACTGATCTAATGTACACTGTTTTGAAGGATTTAGAGGCTTTACACAAACAAGAGTTACAAAATCAAAAATGAAAGTCTTACTTGAATGTCTTTATAATCAATACCAACCTCATTTATTCAATAGTGTACGGGACCATCACATTTAAGAAAATCATTGTAATAAAGAGATTTATTGTTAGTTGATTGTTATTCATTTAGAAATCTTAGTTGAATCGTAGAAGTTGGTAAGTGAAGAAAATGAGAATAATGGATCTGATTTTAAGTTAGACATTAGTTTCAATGATAGAGTTGTTAATGTGGATAAAATGAATTTTAAAAATTAAGTAATAGAAACGTTCAGTGGAAAATGAGTATTTTAAAATGTTAAACAATGTGTAATACTTCTTTACTTCTGAACTGCTTATACAATCCCAAGGTGTCTCAAAATTTAGGCATTATCACTTACATCTTTTTTCAGTCAAGTCCATAGGTGTAATTTTCAAAATTCATTTAATGTTTAAGACTGTTTTCGGTAAATGAAGTTGATAATTAAATTTCATCATGCTATTCTTAAATATTCTTTACGTCGATCTCCAATATTCACTGTACAAACTGGATTTCGAACAGTGAAACAGACTCTCGTGACATTGTTCAGAATAATAACAAAAGTTCCACCATTTAACCATCAAAATAATCGACCTTAATAAAACCCAAAGTATTCACTTAATTTACAAATCATCTCCATTATTTTAAAATCTTAAGAGATCTAAAGATTACTAGTTTATTATTTAACCAAATCATCGATGGAATATAATCAGTGATCTGATTTTATTACATGTGGTTTGAATGAGTCACGTGAATGTCAGCTTCCGACTATGTCACCTTATTAAATCTCGTATATTTGTTTTACAGAGTTGTCTATAAACGATGTGAAACCAAGTCAGATATTGTGTGATTTAAAATGATTAGGAATAAAAGGTTATATTGTAAACGTTATCCAGCAAGCAGTATCATCTAATTGTTCATTGTATGAAATAAACAAAGATAT